TTGGGGCAGCAACGGGTGTTGATGATAAGGAACATGAAGCTGTGTTTGCTGCTTGTTTCAACATCCTCGCAGCTGCTCGAGTGAGCGAGATTGCCTTTGGTGGTTTTCTGAAACGCATCCGCGCAGGGTATGATATTGACCCTTGGTTTCAGAACCCACAGAATACAAACAATCTCTTGTGGGAGCATGAGCTCTGGTGGCACAAGAAAGAAATTGTAGTCCCACATGTGGGAAACCTGCGGAATGATATTCTCGCAGAGGTGCACGCCACTAAGTATGGAGGACACCTGGGTGTCAAGAAAACCCGGTGGGCCCTCAGTGATGTATACTGGTGGCCGGGATTGGGCATTGAGGTCCAGCAGTTTGTAACTCGCTGTGACACGTGTGCACGGAACAAGCCGAGCACACAGAAGCCTGGTGGTCTGCTTCAACCACTTGAGATTCCCGATTAACCTTGGGAGAGTGTATCGATTGATTTTATCACCGATCTCCCCAAGACGCGAGATGGTCATACAGCGATACTAGTGTTTGTGGATCGCTTGACCAAAATGGTGCACTTCGTGCCCACGACGACTGACGTGTCTGCGGAAGATACGGCAAAGTTGTTTGTGACACACGTTTTCCGCTTACACGGTTTGCCTCGTGTGATGGTGTCTGACCGAGACCCGCGCTTCACAAGCTGGTTCTGGCAAGAGGTCATTAAGACACTCGGAACGAAACTCAAGATGTCGTCTGCGTTCCACCCGCAAACGGATGGACAGACAGAGCGGACCAACCGCACTTTTGAGCAAATGCTTCGTTCTTTCATAAGCCCAACTCAGGACGATTGGGATGAATTGTTGCCAGTCGTGGAATTCGCTGTAAACAATTCTGTGCATGAAAGCACCCATGAGAAACCCTTTGTCCTGAACTGTGGTCGGCACCCCACAACCCCCGCGACGCATGGGATTAAGAACCTCAAAATCCCTGCCGCAAAGGACTTTATTGGAAAATAGCAAGCGGCATTGAAGTCCGCTCGCCATTGGCTGCAGCTTGCCCAACAGAGGCAAAAATCCTATGCCGACATGAAACGCTGGGAAGTCGTTTTTGCAGTTGGCAACAAAGTATTACTGAGTACGAAGAACATTCGTCTCAAGATCCCGGGAGCACGAAAGCTTTTCCCTCGTTGGATTGGGCCCTTCGAGGTGATTGCGTGTGCTGGTGAGGTCGCATATAGGCTCAAATTGCCTGCGACATTGCAGATTCACAACGTCTTCCACGTGTCTCTGTTGAATAAGTACGTTGCAGAAGGCAAGTACTTACCGCCACCAACCATCGCTCTCGAGAAGGAACTCTTTTACGAAGTCGAGCGTGTGCTAACGCACCGTGATCGACAACGCGGCCGCAAAACTGTTCGTGAGTTCCTAATTAAGTGGAAAGGCTATGGGCCGGAACACAACTCTTGGGAGCCTGAGGAACACTTGATCGAAGCAGCGGTTCAAGCGTATATGGAAGACCTGGCTCTACGAGCAGGCCCACAACCAGTGGACGGGGTTGACCCTGGTCGTAATGTGGTGCGCCGTGCTCGAAGCACTCGTCCTCAGAAGCACCCTAGGGCAACGGGGACGTTGCCACCTGGGGGGGGAGGAGTGTAACGTATTACCCTAACTACCGAGCTAACAACCATCGATCTCTCTCTAAGTCAATTGTTGAGAACTTCTCTCGACAAAGGAAGAGTTGGAGAAGATGGTTGAGTTGGTTGGGATGAAACTTGGTTTGGGTTTGCCAAGCCTCAACTTTGGAGGTTTGGAACATTTCCAACTCAACCAAGAGAATGTTGAAGGTTGGAATTCCAACCAATCAGAAACTGCCAAACAAGTGTTACAATCTACTCTATCCTAAACACAACCATTGAATGGTTCTAAGTTGGGTTTTCCAACCCAACACAATTGCCACATAGGCTCCAAGCCTAGGAACCATCCCACCATGGAAACCATGGTTGGGATAGTTCCCCAAGGGGTGTATTGAGGGGGTCTGAGCTAAGCAAGCTCATTCTCAACCTCCCACTCCAACAAAACAATTGGAAATGGGATTGTTTCTCTAAGTCCTTTTGGGCTCTCTCACAAGTCTCCCTACACTACTACTCCAAGTGCTTTTCATCAAAGGCATCAAGAAGATCTTCATCTCCAAGGCTATTAAGGCTAGTTAAAGCTACTATTTTGTATTGGAATATTATAAAAGCCTTGTAACCGCCATTATAATAGCCCTGGGCATTACACAGACGCCCTCATCATTACGGTGATACTTCCAGCACTCATTCCGTCCTACGAATCACTTCAAGCAGTTCCGAAAAACCTCGTTTTCGGGTGACGAGTCGCCCTCAACGATGATATCTCGTATGAAGGCCGTCGAGTCGATAATACCGTACCCCGTCGCGCTCGCTTGGGCGATAATCGCGACCACTCTCCTCTGCTCGCTCTCGATCGTCACCCTTCAGTTTCCCCATGGCTGCGGAGAGAACGGCAATGTCTTGGCGGCAGCAATGGGACTCACAGATGGGCCACCAGAAGGCAGTGTTCTCACGCTGAAACTTGCAGACGAAGCCAGAATCGCCGGCGCTTCCGATTCGCTGGCCGGCGGAGGCGGTGCGGCGGGAGAGACAGCGTCCTGCACTGATTGGTTGTCAACCAGCCGTCCAGTTCAAGGCCGCGCGCTCCCAGATCCGTGGGCGTTTACTAAGGTGGCAATATTAGCTAGTAGCAAGAGCATTTGTTCTCTCGAAGCCCGACAAATACCCACAGTGGACACCCCGCGTTTCTCCGTGCCTTGTAGCGGGGCTGCCTATAGAGGAGCTCGATGCGCATCTGAACTTCCGCCGGGGGTGGACCCTCGGGTTCGTGGAAGACGTGGAAGATAAGACGCAGGTTCTGCCGTTGATGCGCGGCGCCTTGGATCCTAAAATGCACGCAAGGTGCGTGGCGATAGTAAATAGTAGTGGTAGTACTAACTGGGGGTAGTTCTATCGTCTGTGGCGTCGGCTTAAACCAAGTGTATTCGCAACTGTTTGCCTTCTTTCCCCCACCTTCGTAGCCTCGGGGAATGACCAAGCTGCCCCCAAATTCAGAGTTTCTACAGGAGCCAGAGGGTTTACATCGACTTCATAGTCAGGACGTTCTACACGAGCGTAACCTGGTTTCTTCGTAATCCACGAAATCATGTACCCTAAGCCCCCTTCATTTCACCGAAATCCACGATTTTAAAGAAATGCACAGTCGTCACAGAAAAACCTCATGCTTGCTTGCCTCCTGTATCTCCAATCTGCCCTTGAATTCCGCGTTCCCACAGGAAGCGGAGGGTTTATATCGACCTCGGAGCCAAGACGTTCAACACGAGTGTAACCTGGTTTCTCCAAATGTATCCCCTCGATTTCACCGAGGTTCATGCGGTGGAAGCAAATCCGGGCGTGTTCCAAATGCCAAATGCATCAGTAACAAAGGTGTGTGATATACGGTACATATAAATACGGAACTAAACGAATAATGGAGGGGTCAGAAAGGCACGTGAACAGCAAACTGGGCTGGGAGAGACGCTTGGCGACGGGGTACATTTGGGTTTCTGGGGGGGAGGGAGTGGCTGGAGGGGATGAGGGGAGAGGAGGAGGAGGTAAGTTTTTCATGGATGAACGGATGCATCGGCTGTAAGTTTTTCATACAAAAAAGCGCCGGCATAGGTTCTGCCGGAGTATTTTTGTTGTGTTCCTTTGTGATGCGTAACACGGGGATAAAGGCGTGCAATCTTGTCAATCAGGAACATGCCCACGTCTTCATCATCCCCACGTTACGCATCCCCACATTACGCATCCCCACGCGTAGATCGTTTCGTTTAGCCCAGCCCCTGTACCCCATACCCGGCCCCCACTTTCTTCAATCCCCTTCCCCCTGTTTCACCTCTCCTGCCTTGTCAAATACATATAATCCTCCGAAAATTCAGATATTTTTTAGGGTTAACGTATCTAATAAGTAATCTGAATACCCCTCTACAACCGCTCAAAACCCTTCCGCATCACTCTGAACTGCTCTAGGTACTCGCAACTGATTTGGGCCAGAATTCACGCCTGCGTCCGACACACGAAGGCCCAGCAGACTTCCCACAATGGCTGCTGAAACGCGTTCATCCCTACAACTTCTACGTCTCTTCCCAAGACAACCGGGAGCAGGTAAGAAGAAGGCGAAAACGAGATTCCGATTGAGAATTCTCAATAAGTGATTTTAGACTTCCCACAATGGTTGCTGCTACGCGTTCATCCTTACAGCTTCTTTGTGTCTCCAAAGACAACCACAAGAAGGTAAATACATTTCAAAGAAGAAAGCTTAGGAGCACCTGAATTAGGCCGAATCAGGGCCTTTCTGTTTTGCTCTGTAGGCGCCGTGTCCCCCCGTTGCTGGCTTTCTGCTCTTTTCCCCCCTTTCCTTCTCGGTTCACCCCTCTTTCTGCTCTTCCCCCCCCTTTCCTGCTCGGTTCACCCCTCTTTCTGCTCTTTCCCCCACTTTCTTCCTCGGTTCACCACTCTTTCTGCTCTTTCCCCCCCTTTCATGCTCGGTCCTCCCCTCTTTCTCCTCTTCCCTCCCCCCCCCTTTCCTGATCGGTTTACCCCTCTTTCTGCTCTTTTCCACCCTTTCTTACTCGGTTCACCCCTCTCTCTGCTCTTTCCCCCCCCTTTCATGCTCTGTTCCCCCCCCATTTCTGCTCTCTTCCTGCCCATTCCTGGATGAGGGTGGTGGATGAGGGTGGTGGATGAGGGTGGTGGATGAGGGTGGTGGATGAGGGTGGTGGATGAGGGTGCTGGATGAGGGTGCTGGATGAGGGTGGTGGATGAGGGTGCTGGATGAGGGTGCTGGATGAGGGTGCTGGATGAGGGTGCTGGATGAGGGTGCTGGATGAGGGTGCTGGATGAGGGTGCTGGATGAGGGTGGTGGATGAGGGTGCTGGGCTCAGTCATGAGCAAATGACTTGACGAGGTGATGCTGCTCTTCCCCTCTGCCCTGCTGTTCCCCTCTGCCCTGCTCTTCCCCTCTGCCCTGCTCTTCCCCTCTGCCCTGCTCTTCCCCTCTGCCCTGCTGTTCCCCTCTGCCCTGCTGTTCTGTTCCCCTCTGCCCTGCTCTTCCCCTCTGCCCTGCTGTTCTGTTCCCCTCTGCCCTGCTCTTCCCCTCTGCCCTGCTGTTCCCCTCTGCCCTGCTCTTCCCCTCTGCCCTGCTCTTCCCCTCTGCCCTGCTGTTCCCCTCTGCCCTGCTCTTCCCCTCTGCCCTGCTCTTCCCCTCTGCCCTGCTCTTCCCCTCTGCCCTGCTCTTCCCCTCTGCCCTGCTCTTCCCCTCTGCCCTGCTCTTCCCCTCTGCCCTGCTCTTCCCCTCTGCCCTGCTGTTCCCCTCTGCCCTGCTCTTCCCCTCTGCCCTGCTCTTCCCCTCTGCCCTGCTCTTCCCCTCTGCCCTGCTCTTCCCCTCTGCCCTGCTCTTCCCCTCTGCCCTGCTGTTCCCCTCTGCCCTGCTCTTCCCCTCTGCCCTGCTGTTCCCCTCTGCCCTGCTCTTCCGCTCTGCCCTGCTGTTCCCCTCTGCCCTGCTCTTCCCCTCTGCCCTGCTCTTCCCCTCTGCCCTGCTCTTCCCCTCTGCCCTGCTCTTCCCCTCTGCCCTGCTCTTCCCCTCTGCCCTGCTGTTCCCCTCTGCCCTGCTGTTCCCCTCTGCCCTGCTCTTCCCCTCTGCCCTGCTGTTCCCCTCTGCCCTGCTCTTCCCCTCTGCCCTGCTCTTCCCCTCTGCCCTGCTCTTCCCCTCTGCCCTGCTCTTCCCCTCTGCCCTGCTCTTCCCCTCTGCCCTGCTCTTCCCCTCTGCCCTGCTGTTCCCCTCTGCCCTGCTCTTCCCCTCTGCCCTGCTGTTCCCCTCTGCCCTGCTCTTCCCCTCTGCCCTGCTCTTCCCCTCTGCCCTGCTCTTCCCCTCTGCCCTGCTGTTCCCCTCTGCCCTGCTCTTCCCCTCTGCCCTGCTCTTCCCCTCTGCCCTGCTCTTCCCCTCTGCCCTGCTCTTCCCCTCTGCCCTGCTGTTCCCCTCTGCCCTGCTGTTCCCCTCTGCCCTGCTGTTCCCCTCTGCCCTGCTGTTCCCCTCTGCCCTGCTGTTCCCCTCTGCCCTGCTGTTCCCCTCTGCCCTGCTGTTCTGTTCCCCTCTGCCCTGCTCTTCCCCTCTGCCCTGCTGTTCCCCTCTGCCCTGCTGTTCCCCTCTGCCCTGCTCTTCCCCTCTGCCCTGCTGTTCCCCTCTGCCCTGCTGTTCTGTTCCCCTCTGCCCTGCTCTTCCCCTCTGCCCTGCTGTTCTGTTCCCCTCTGCCCTGCTCTTCCCCTCTGCCCTGCTGTTCTGTTCCCCTCTGCCCTGCTCTTCCCCTCTGCCCTGCTGTTCTGTTCCCCTCTTCCCTGCTCTTCCCCTCTGCCCTGCTCTTCCCTCTGCTAATTTTTGCCTCCTTCCTCGTTGTGCCCTCCCACAACACCGTGAACGTCCTCCCACCTCCCGTCTCCGTCCCTGTTCTCCCCTCTTCCCCCACTCCCGCCCGGAACACGGTCAACGTAACGAGGTGGTTTCAGGACGTGCCCCAATCCCTCTCCCCCTTTCTCCTCTCTCCCCTACCTCCCCAACCTGCCCCGCCCGGAGTCACTTTTGAGAATTCTCAAAAGTGCCTCCCCACCCTGCCCCGCCCGGAACACGGTCAACGTAACGAGGTGGTTTCAGGACGTGCCCCAATCCCTCTCCCCCTTTCTCCTCTCTCCCCTACCTCCCCACCCTGCCCCGCCCGGAGTCACTTTTGAGAATTCTCAAAAGTGCCTCCCCACCCTGCCCCACCCGGAACACGGTCAACGTGACGAGGTGGTTTCAGGACGACCTGAAGCTGAAGGAAGAGGACTCAGACTTACTCTTCCCTCTCTCCCCTCTTCCCACCCCCTCTCCCCCCACCCCCCCCCTCCCCCCCCTCTCCTACTCCCCTCCCCCTCTCCTAATCTCCTACCCCCCTCCCCCCCTCTCTCCCTCCCTTCCTCTCCCCCCCTCCCCCTCCCAGAACATGGTGAACGTGACCAGGTGGTTCCTGGAGGACCTGCAGTTGAAGAAGGAGGACTCGGTCGTGGTGAAGATGGATATAGAGGGGTACGAGTGGGAGATACTGCAGCACTGGCTGTCCAACCCTCTCCCCCCCGTCTCCCCCCCTCCCCGTCCCAGAACATGGTGAATGTGACCAGGTGGTTGCTAGAGGACCTGCAGTTGAAGGAGGAGGACTCGGTCGTGGTGAAGATGGATATAGAGGGGTACGAGTGGGAGATACTGCAGCACTGGATCTCCAACCCCCGCATGGCAGCGATCGTAGACGAACTGTTTGTCGAGGTGCATTATCACCATCCGAGCATGACGGAATTTATGTGGACTGAGGAATATTTCATCCACACACGTGAGGATGCGACGAGGTTGCTGACTGACTTGAGAAAGGCCGGTTTCTACGTGCATCCCTGGCCGTAGATGGTCGGGCTGGTTTCTACGTGCATCCCTGGCCGTAGATGGCCAGATTGGTTTGTACATGCATCCCTGTAGATGTCCACACATACCAGTATTATTAATTTCTCAGTATTATTGTTACCTTTACCTGTTCCTACACTAAGATGGCGTTCACAGCAAGTTCCCCCAAGCGAAGTAGCCCCAAGAGGCCAAAAAGTGCGGATATTTGGGTCCAGCATGGCAGTTTTGTAGCTGACCACACCCACTCCACATGCCATGCGGATGTGGATACACACCTAAACGAGTTTGAGCGAATTATCATAACCAATAAGGTGCATGTAACCCCGTCGACTTCAAGATCGTTCATTCATGACAAGCTTTCGTGAAGCAACCCGAAACACATGCTTCACAAATATTTGTGCACTGTTGTTGAGCGCGGTTCGCTTTGGGGGAACTTGCTGTGAACGCAGTATAAGGGTACGTTCCTGTGGAGACACTTGTGTCTCAATCCCCTTTTTTCCGAGTCGCGTCTACACATTTTTTCAATCTCGCGTCACAAAAAATGAGTGTATCACGAAACTGTGCGACCAGGCGAAATTTACAGCTGTGCTCATTTGATTGGATTTCAAACTTGACTGAACACCTGTTTTTTCAACTGTCTGGTTCGGGTGGGGTTTTGACGAGCGGAACTTGTTGAAATAGGTTCTTAACTTAGTAGGCTTAGTAGCCTAGGGTTTAGCTAGGACGAGAGTAGCAAGGGTGAGGTCGAGGGTGTTAACCAAGGGAGAAACAAGAATGTGTGTTCACTATGAGAAGAGTTACAAGTTATAGCAAGCCAAAGGGTGCACCACCTAACAGGACAGCAATAGAACTACACTACAGCTACATGCAGTTATACAGAAATATATTCTGACACACCCCCTAACTGCATGCAGGAATAGCCATGTGCATAACACCCCCTGGAGGGGTACACCCTGCGCAGCGGAAGACAACAGAGAGGAATGCGAGGAGGAGTCGAGAGAGAGAGAGAGGGGAGAGGAGAGGAATGACGAGAGGAGGTGGGGGGAGCCACGCGGCGAGCCCCTCTTACGAACCCCTGTTTTACAAAGGGGGGGGGTGAGAGAGGGATGAGGAGAGGAGGTGGGGGGAGCCACGCGGCGAACCCCTCTTACGAACCCCCGTTTTACAAAGGGGGGAGGGTGAGAGAGGGAGGAGAGGAGGTGGGGGGGAGCCTAGCGCGGCGAGCCCCTCTTACTAACCCCCTAATTCCACGCCCCCTTTCAGCCACCCCCCTCAACCTCACCCCCCTTGTCAACCGGCCTCTGAAACCTCACACCTTCCCCCCCACCCTTCCTCCAACACCTTCCCCACCCACGGTGGTCCCTGCTCAAGCCTTCACACGGCGGCCAGAAGCCCGCCACCCCCTTACCCTCCCCCCCACAACGGCACGTGCGGCAGTGAGAGAGAGAGGAGGAGGGGCGGCAGCTGGGTGCTCACACCCGCCACCCCAAACCCACCCCCCCACTGTTGCACGCGCAGCAAGGAGAGAGAGGGGAAGGCGAGCGACAGCGGCAGTAGCTCCTCCCGCCACTCCCACCACTCCCACCACTCCACCCTCCCCCCCACAGCAGCAGGTGCGGCCGTGAAACAGAGGAGGCAGGGTGGTGCCGTTGGTGCCACCTCCCCCTTACACCACCTCCCCCTCCCCACAAACTGCTGCACACGCAGTAGGGAGAGGGCAGATAAGGGAGGGGGGGCGAGGTGCGCGATCGGGTGGGGCGGGCGCGGATGGGCAGGGCGCACGAGGCGCCGGGCAGAAACCGCCGCTGCAGTAGGAGCAGCAGAAGGGGGAAGGTAGAGGCGGAGGGGGGGGCCTGCTGGCTTGGTGACGAAACAGAGCAGCGGGGCGCTGGAGGTGCAACCACCCCCCCACCGCCACTCCTGCGTCCCCCCAACACCCTCCCCCCAAAACTTCTGCACGCGAAGCAGGAGAGGGATGAGGAAGCGGGCGGCGGGGCGGTGAGCAGGGCGTAGGCGACGGCGGGGAGGTGAGGCTGGTGCAGCTCCGCGCGCTTGTGCTGGCGCTGGTGCTGGCACGGGCGTTGGCGACTGGCGGCTCCGGCCGCCACTAACCCCCTCGATGCTGCCTGCTCCAGTCGCGGCTGCAGCGGCGGCGGGCTCGTACGAGCGGGGAGCTGCAGCGCAGCGGCGGCGGGCTGCAGCAGCGGCGATCGCGGGCTGCGGACGAGGGCTGCGGCGTACGGGCGGCTGCAGCAGTGCGCGTGCTTGCCTGCGACGGGGCCCCCGCGCGACGAGCAGAAAACCGTCGCACGCTGGGGGCGAGCGACGGGCAGAACACCGTCGCATGCTGGGGGCGCGCGACGGGCAGAAACCGACGCACGCCCGGGGCGTGTGACGGGCAGAAACCGCCACACGCCCGGGGCGTGCGACGGGCAGAAACCGCCACGCGCTCAGGGCGTGCGACGGGCAGAAAACCGCCACACGCCCGGGGCGTGCGACGGGCAGAAACCACCATGCGCTCGGGGCGCGTGACGGGCAGGGGCGCTGCATGACGGGCAGCGCGACTGGTGGGCCCATGAAAATTAGGTCCTGGGAAGGACCAGCTCTGATAGCATGTTGAAATAGGTTCTTAACTTAGTAGGCTTAGTAGCCTAGGGTTTAGCTAGGACGAGAGTAGCAAGGGTGAGGTCGAGGGTGTTAACCAAGGGAGAAACAAGAATGTGTGTTCACTATGAGAAGAGTTACAAGTTATAGCAAGCCAAAGGGTGCACCACCTAACAGGACAGCAATAGAACTACACTACAGCTAGAACTACATGCAGTTATACAGAAATATATTCTGACAGAACTTTTTCCCGCGCGAGATTTTTACTGTGGAATGTCCAGGTGCATTGACATTTCGAACCGCGTACAGAGTTGTTGACAATGACGGGTCGATACGCAACTCGTCCGCGACATCAGCGCGTTTCACGCTGACAAATGAAAAATACATTAAAAGTCGCACAAGGGCGACACGCGTTTGTGACATTGTACGTTATAAGCTGGTTTTACGTGTCACAAAAGGATTGAGACACAAGTGTCTCCACAGGAACGTACCCTAAGTCCCCATGGATTGGGCATCTACCCAGATGAGGTGAACTGACTTTTGACAAGTTCACTGAGGCGGTTTTCATTCTATCAGTCTAGCTGTTTCTACTTTCAAAATGAAGTATATGCGTGTCCCTATCCCGATTCTTCAACTTGGCGCACCAGACGTTCAAGTTGCTCCTGCGTCAACGTCGCGAGCGTGAATTCGGCCATGGCGGGGGTGTCGGGCAAGCTCAGTGAGAGCCCCTGTCGTGGCCGTGCGTGCTTACGAGAGAGCACTACGAGCGGCGGTGCTGTGTCGCTGAGGGACGTCTACCCCCCCCAAAAATTGAGATAGTGAGGAAGCGAAGGTGTGGGTGCGGTCCGAGAAGAGATCGTAGGCTCTGATACCAAGTGTTACGAGTGCAATTGAGTGAGCGAGCGAGGATTGCACTATCGAAGCAAACGTACAACGAGCGAAGGCATGAGCGAAGAATATATAGCGAAACTACAGTGGTAACGGTAATGAACTGTGGTTGTCGCGCGACGGGCCTGGGACTGAGGTTTGGGGAAATGTCGAAGCGGAGGCCCGGAGCGCGGGTTACCCGCCGAGCCGTGAGGTCGGGGTGCGACGTGCGAAGGTGGCGGGAGGATTGTCGATGCGAGGGTTGCGAGTGGTAACGGTGCTGACTGTGGTGCCACAGTGGTGTACGCGCTGAACGGGGACGCGAAGTAAGGGAAGGGAATTTTCCTTACAGTCCCATGATATTTAGTTTCTGTTGTTCTGTAAATGTTCAGAAAGGCTCACGTATCCTGTAGAGATACTCACGTGTCAGTCAGAGGCACAAATCATGGTTTAGGGGCGAACTACTGTACAAGCTTTCAGTGGATCTTGGCCAGCGGGCTTGCTTCCATAGTTCTGAACAGCACGTGTACTGTGCATCGCCGCCAAACCTGTGTTTGGTTTGGGTTCAGTTGACTCAAAACGGATAAGATATCCCACCCTATCTCCACTCCATACTCTGCGACTTGGGCTGCGTAGTGTGGGCGCAGCTGTCTCTTGATTCGACTCAGTGCGCCTACTGTTGCCTGAGGACGAGGATCAGCATTTAGGCGGCGCATGCGAGGGAAGGCACTGATGGCTGGTGGATAACGCCACATAAGCACGCGCAAGGCCACGTAGGCGCGCGGAAGGCCACGTAGGCGCCCGGAAAGCCATGTAGACGCGCGGAAGGCCGAGTGGGCGCGCGGAAAGCAGAGGCGCGCTTAGGGGACGGAAGGCACCAGCCGCAGCCATAGCTTCATCATCCTGCCTCGACTACCCACCACTACTTAAAACCGGGGTGCACATTCAGCTGAATGTGCATCAAAGGTTATCCCTTGACTGAGTGGGTTACGAGGTGTGCTTTCAACCCCTTCAAGTCGAAATTCGTTACCCCCCTCCCCCGCAATTTCGTTTCCCCACGCCCCCGCAATTTCATTTCCCCCTCCCCGTCGAAATTCGATTCCCCCCCCTCCCGCCAATCTGTTTCATCCCTCCCGCCATTCGGTTTCACCCACTCCCGCCATTTCACCCCCTCCCGCCACCTACGAAATGCCCGAAGCTCTAGCGGAATCATTTTTTTGTCGCCCCTCGTGAGCCAATCACTGTTTTTCTCCAAACCCCCTTCCCAACATCTCAAGCCGAACCGCGTTGAATGTGCACCCTGGTTTTAACCCCCATTCGAGCGCAATCCATGCCCCAACCATCAATTTCATCGGATTCCACGTCCCAAGCTCCCAGAATCTGCAGCAGAGCAACAGCCGGACTGCGGCGGGGGTGTGTTCTGTGCCCGGCCCGCAAGGACCTCCCCGCGAGGTGACGTGAGAGCCACCCGGCCCGTCGTTCCCGCGCTCCATGCATCTGTCGCGGGCTGCTGTGAGGGTGTTCTCTGCCCGGCCCGCAAGGTCCTCCCTGCGAGGTCTCACGTGTCGCGAGAGCCACCCGGCGGCCCGTCGTTTTCGCGGGAATTTATCGCGCGGCGGCATTCATCTTCTGCTGATGGCTCGTACCAACAGAATCGGCGCCGCCGCTCAGGCCGTTGCGACGCCGACTCGCCGCTTCGTGTCCCTCGTGGCTTCCGCCGCCGCGCTCCTGCTCCTCGCCACCGCCGCCGCCGTGCCGACGCTCGCGGATTCGACTCAAATGGCAGATGCGAGCCGTCGGGTTCTGAAAGCCGCCGCGCCCGTAGCGGCGCCCGCGCCGGCGGGGGCCGGGGCACCCGCGGTCGGCGCGCCACCGCCGCCACCGGCGCCGGTCGACCAGTATTACGACGACGACTACATGCAGGACTACACTCTGGAGCAAGTGATCGCAGCCGCGTCGCCTCAGGCTGCGCCCGGAGCGCCGCCTTCTCCGCCGCGATCTCTGCGAATGAAGGTTCCGTACACGATTAAATTCGCGGACGTGTCCAAGTCGTTTTACATTCTTAACTACCTCGCGAACTCGGTGTGCAAGTTTCCCGCCGGCCCGACGATTTTCCTTCCGACGAATCAGGCGTGGAGCGACGCGCTCGAAGGGTACAAGAAGAGCCACAACAGCGGCGCGCTGTATGAAGCGCTCGACGCGGTCGCGAGCGATCGGATCAAGAACGCGATTGTTTGGGCGGGGAGTAAGACCATGATAAACAGCACAGAGCTGTCGCGTCTCGCTGAGAAGGCGAAATCGTGCAAAACGCTCACGACGCATCCGATCGGGGAGGCCGCGCGGACCGCGCTGTTCAACCTGATGTCGTTCCACACGGCGGCTTCGCGGGTTACGGTCCTGAATCTGGATAGCCAGGTATGCTTGTGAACCACCATCGGTACGTGAGTGTATATGTTAGTATGTGTATCGGATGGTGTGTTGTGTTTCTCCCGCTCAATTCCCATATGCTCTCGTTGTCGTTCCATCTGCTTCTTAAACCTTGTGACGATGCTGCTGCCTTAAATGAAAAACTCATATCATAGTGACGCTGCTGCTGTTGGTGCTGCTGCTACTTGTTTAGAAGCATGCTACCGACACGTAGTGCCCAGCGCACTTATTTTCTTCTGTTTCTTACACCCCGACCCTTCATGTACAGTGTACCGCCACTGGCACGTCTTTCAAGACCGCGTTCAACAGCAACAACCTGAACTTCAAGTGCAACAGCACCGACACTGGTTTCATTTCCGGCTCGGACCCCCTTGCATCTGGCGCAACTGCTGGTACTGCGTCTGCTGTGGCAATGATTGACGAGCCGCAGAAGGATTATTTCTATGTCAACGCGGTTGTGTTCCCAAGCAACATCTCCTCCCTGCCTGGTACGCGTTTTTATATTTTGCAAGCAACGTTTCGGATTCAAAATTGCAAGCAACGGGCTTACAGAATGGGATTTCTCCTTCCTTTCCCGTATTTCTGCCCGGGCGCGAATTGGGATCATGGTTCATGCCCTTTTCTGCATGATGCACCGTGCCACACTGTGCAGCATGCCTGACTCCACACGTCTACATGGCCCTAGGGTTTCACTACTCGTTCCTCTCCCTTCTCCCATTTTTCCCGACACCTCACTCCCCTTTCTCCTCCCCCTCGCTCCCATTCCCTTCCCAATTTCCCCATTCCCCCCTTCCCGCCCTCTCTCGCATTTCCCCTCCCCCCTCACTCCCATTTCCCCTCCCCCCCTCGCTCCCATTTCCCCTCCCCTCCTCACTCCCATTTCTCTCCCCTTCCCCCCCCCCCCGCCCTCGCTCCCATCTTCCCCCCCTTTTCGGTCCCATTTCCTCCCCCCCTTTTCACTCCCATTTCCTCCCCTCGTTTTCACTCCCATTTCCTTCCCCCTTCACTCCCATTTCATCCCCCGCTTGACTCCCATTTCATCCGCTTGACTCCCATTTCCTTCCCCTGGTCACTCCCATTTCCTCTCCCCCCATTCACTCCCATCTCTCCTTCCCCCTCTCGAATGCCAGGGGCGGCTGCCACTGTCCATTTCTGAACTGCCGCCATGGGAGGGGAAGCACACGCATTTGGATGCACCGCGCTGCACCACTTCTCACTGCTCCTCCTTCTCATGTCTCCGTTCTTCCCGCTCTCTCCTCTCGGATGCCAGAGGCCTTTGCCACAGTCCATCGCTCTACTGCTGCCCATGCATAGGAAGGGAAGCACACACACCTGGGATGCACCGCGTTGCACCACCTCTCACTGCTTGTTCCCCTCCTTTCTCCCATTTCCCCACCCCCTCACTCCCATTTCCTCACCCTCTCACTCCCATTCTCTCACCCCACCCCTCCCCCGCCCCACTCCCTCCTCTCGAATACCAGGTGCCGTTAGCCACTGTCTCGCGTCTCTTCACTGCCCTGCTGGTCTTCAGCGCTGCTGTTTTCTGCGCACTCTAGTCTGGACCCCATGAGTCTAAGAAAGAACCCATCTCGCTGCTGCTGCCCATGCCGTGAGAGGGAAATGGAAGCACGCGGCTGTTGAATGCTCCATGCTGCTTCAGCTCTGAACTGCTTGTTCACTCGTTTCTCCCATTTCTCCACCCCACTCCACCCCCTCACTCCCATTCCCCCGACACCCACCCCTCCCCAACCCCACTCCCTCCTCTCGGATGCCAGGTGCCGTTGCCACTGTCTCGCGTCTCTTCACTGCACTGCTGGTCTTCGCCGCTGCTCTTGCTTGTGCCCTCTAGTCTGGTCCCCACAAGGCTAGACCCTCTCGCTCTTCTGCCCACGACACGAGTCTAGATGCCAAGGGATGGGACGAGGAAGTGGTTTGGCTGTGAAATCATTGTAGATCGTAACTGTTGATTGTGCCTATCTTCCTAAGTTTCTCAGCCGATGCGGTTCAGGGCGATTGAAAGAGTGTTCTTTCACAGAAGGACTGATGTATTTTGTTGAGCTGAATGCCTTTTGTACTGGTTATGGTTAGGGAATACATTTGTCATTATCTGTAGGATCTAAACACTCTTACGTTTGTGCTTATACATTTATCATTTATCCCAAATTTATCCTTGATCTACTTACAATATCGTGTATCGAGTTATCGTGTTATCATGTACTTGAGACTACAGACCCCACCACTACATCTGTAGACACCAGTCTTCTAGCCGTCTCACACCAGAGCGTTTCCTAAGTCAAGTGTTGCGCTACTCGCCCGCGCGTCGTTGTAGCTACGTTGCACTCTCCAGCCTGCGTCGCGCCGAGCTATCCGAGTAGCGCAGAGGCAATCCTAGTTCGGCACGCAGAGCGGCGAACCACTCCTAATGTCCTGGACTTTATTTCGCTTAGGTTTTCCGACGTGGAGCGATGCTAGTGTAGTGCGCACCGAAGGTGACGCGACTCGCTCTGACGTGGGTCCGTGCCTCAGTGGCTTCGAGGCATCCCTAACGGTGATAAGACGCCCGGTAATCCTGAGCCCTTATCTCGAAGCACCGGACTTGACGGCGTCGCCACTAATGAGGCGCCGCCGGGCGGAAACGGGAATGCGCGGCTCCCGGGGAGGCATCACGCGTACCCGAGGCGAACCCGATCCAGTTTTGCGGCGCCTCTAAACTAGTCGCCGTGGGCGGACTCGGAGATGCGCGGGAGGCATTATGCATGCACCAGAGGCGAACCGGTTCCGCACAGCTTCCGCGGACGGACTCCGTTCGGAACGTAGGGGGGACACGGGGCGGAAAACCACGGCGCGGGGAAAGACTGCGCACAGTTCCCCGCTACTACTTCACCGTGATGAACACGCCATGGCCTTCACCCACGGGTGAAGGAACCTCAGCTTACCGACTGCTGCATACTACTACTTAAACACAGTCGTATAGCAGCAACTGTCAGTTACTAACTTTCCCAACTTGTATCCTCCTTCTTTGGACCAGTGGGATCGCACACGTCGCGTAACGTTCTTCCCGCGGTACTGCTGCAATGGCTCGCCTCGTTACTCTCCGCGTTTCCCTCGTGGCTTCCGCCGCGGCGCTCCTGCTCCTCGCAACCGCCGCTCTGCCGGCGCTCGCTGCGGGCAATTCCGCCGCGTCGATCTCCGCGGATTCGACGGACATGGTGGCGGCTTCCGCGAGCCGTCGGGTCCTGCAAGCCGCGCCCGCAGCAGCACCCGCACCCGCGCCCGCGGCAGCCGCGGCACCCGTCGCCGACGCGCCATCGTCTTCCGACGCGCCGTCGTCTTCCGACGCGCCGTCGTCTTCCGACGCGCCGTCTTCCCCGGCGCCACCACTTCAGCGGCTGAAGCTCGCGTCGAACATTAAAGCCAGCGACGCCTCCAAGTCGATCAACCTCCTTAACTACCTCGCGTACACGGCGTGCCAGTTCCCGACCGGGAAGACCATGCTCCTCCCGTCGAACAACGCGTGGAGGAACGCGTTCGAAGGTTACAAAAAGAACCGCAGCAGCGGCGGGCTGTACGACGCTCTTGACGTCGTCGCGAACAGCGATAAGCTCAAGAATCCGGATAATAGGGACCGGCTCACTGATTACTCCTCGCTGCTTGACAAGTCGAAGGGGTGCAAGTCGATTATTGTGGGCGGGCCGATCAGCGAGGCCGGGAGGACTGCGGTGTATAACCTGCTGACTTTCCACACGGCCGATTTTTCGGTTAAGATGGAAGATTTGGATAGCAAGGTACGACGCATGCGCGGCTTTTGAGTCGATTCAGAAGTCAATTTGCTGACTTTCCACACGGCCAATTTCACGGTTAAGGACTCTTGACTTTTCCCCTTTCAATAGCACTCTGCTAGCACTTCCGTTCGCTTCGCTATGCCTTGCCCCCTACTCCTTACCTGGCTCATTTCTTTCGCGCGCTACCTTGACTCTCCCTCCTTGCCCTAATCACGTTGGTCGGCAGTGCGACGCGACTGGCTACACCTTCAAGACCCTGTTCAACGGCCAAATTTTGAACTTCAAGTGCGACAGGCTGACAGCAACAGCTTTTGAGTCGACTCAAAACCTTGCCTCTCCCTCCCCGCCCTAATCACGTTGGCTTGCAGTGCAACACTGATGGCACGACCGTCAAGACCCTGTTCAACGGCCAAAATTTGAACTTCAAGGGCGACAGCAACAGCAACGGACTCCTTTCCGGATCGGACCCGCTCGCATCCAACCCGGCAGCTGGGACTCCGTCTGCTGTCGCGAAGATTGACGATAGGGCGGGCGATTTCATTTACGTCGACAACCTTGTGTTTCCGAGCGACATGGCCTCCCTGCCTGGTACGCGTTTTAAGGTTTTCCATCCATGCACAGGTTCGGATTCGGAGTCAACTGGCTTACAGCATGGGTATTTATACCTAGTTGCGTTTTACCAGTACACCTTCCTTTTCGTCTACTTATGCATACGCTTTCGTATCATGGGTCAGTCAGCCCTCCTCTGCATGATGCACCATGCCACACTGTGCATCTGCATCCAGCCACACATCCACAATGCCACCTTCACTAGTCGTTCCTCTCCTTCATTTCATACTCCTCCCCCCATTCCTATCTCTCCTCCCCCCATTCCTATCTCTCCTCCCCCCATTCCTATCTCTCCTCCCCCCATTCCTATCTCTCCTCCACCCATTCCTATCTCTCCTCCACCCATTCCTATCTCTCCTCCACCCATTCCTATTTCTCCTCCACCCATTCCTATCTCTTCTCCACCCATTCCTATCACTCCTCCACCCATTCCTATCTCTCCTCCACCCATTCCTATCTCTCCTCCACCCATTCCTATCACATTTCTCCTCTCTCATTTATTCCCCCCCACACATGCTTCTCCCCCTCACTCCCATTTCTCCCCCCACTCACTCCATGCTTCTCCCGCTCACTCCCATTTCGCCTCCTCCTCACTCCCATTTCTCCCCCCCCTCACTCCCATTTCTCCTCCCCCTCATTCCCATTTCTGCCCCCCCTCACTCCCATTTCTCCCCCCGCCCTCACTCCCATTTTTCCCCCCTCCCCTCACTCCCATTTTTCCCGCCTCCCCTCACTCCCATTTTTCCCCCTCCCCTCACTCCCATTTCTTCCCCCCCCCCTCACTCCGATTTCTCCCCCCCCCTCCTCACTCCCATTTCTCCTCCCCTTTCACCTCCCCTCACCACAATTGTTGAAACCCCTCACCCCCATTTCTTTACTGTGGCCCACGTCAGCGGAGGGGAAGCGCGCTTACTAGGGATGCACCATGCTGACACTTCCCCCCGTGTTCCCTCCAGCACGTTTCAGCACGTGCACTTCCTACACGTTATTGCTGTCCACGTCAGGGGAGGGGAAGCGCGCTTACTAGGGATGCACCGTGCCGCTCCAGCTCCTTACTCCTTGTTCCTCTCCTTTCTCCCCCTTCTACACCCCCTCACTCCCGTTCCTCAACCCCCCTCCCTCTCGGATGCCAGGTGCCGTTGCCACTGTCTCGCGTCTCCTCACCGCACTGCAGGTCTTCGCCTCTGCTCTTGCCTGCGGCCACTAGTGTAGACTGCATGAGTCTAAGAACCCATCTCTGCACCCCTCACTCTCTTTCCTCTGTTTCTCCCATGCCAGGTGCCGCTGCCACTGTCTCTCGTCTCCTCACTGCGCTGCTCGTCCTCGCCGCTGCTCTTGTTTGCGCCCTCTAGACACCAGGGGCTAGAACCCCCCTCGCTCTGCTGCCCACGAGTCTACATGCAACGGGGGGAGGAAGCACTTGAAATTGGATCCTCACTGTTTATTGTGCCGCTGCTGGTCCTCGGCGCTGCTCTTGTCCTCAACCACTTCACCCCTTCACTCCCATCCATCCCCCCCCCCCACCCTCCTTTTCCCTCTCGGATGCCAGGTGCCGCTGGCATGTATCCTCACTCACTCACATCCCCGTGTATACTCACACTCATTCTTATTTCTCGTCCCCCCTCCCATTTTTCCACCCCTCACTCTCATCCTCGCTCCCCACACTCTGGATGCCAGGTGCCGTTGCCACTGTCTCGCGTCTCCTCACTGCGCTGCTGGTTCTCGCCGCTGCTCTTGTTTGCGCCCTCTAGACCCCAGGGGCTAGAAACCCACTCGCTCTAAAGGGTTTCGATGCGAGGGGAGGAGGAAGCACTTCGATTGTGGATCTTAGTAGTTGATTTGCTTCTCATCTAAAAGGTGTTTGCCACTGTTCTGCTTTAGGGCAATGGGATGGGAGTGTGGTTGGGTTTACTAGGGCTGATGCATGTTCAAATAGTTTTCATGAAGTTGTGTCTTCTTTTCTTGAATCAGATGTATGGTTGGGCTTTTCAGGTTGAGAGGATTTTTATTTCTTGTGGACACGGATTAAAGCAATTAGTGGGGGATAAAGTTCAGAAACAATCATATCAGCATCAAGTAGTAATGTAATGTACCTGGCTGCGCTTGAGCAATTCACGCTCCATATGAAAAGGCGGGAATGCTTGTTTCACATTACGCACGTTTTAGGCTTTAGAAGTTCGTTGTCTCGCATCCATGTCCGAAGCGCGATCCGTGTCAGCAAAGACCGAGTCGCTGGCAGAATTCGAGATTTTGTTCCAATGTTGCATCCCGAAGCGCCGCTTCATGGTCGGGATGGTTGCCTCCAGGATTTAGCGCGGTGAAAGAACGACACTATTTTGAAGCGCGTAGCACCATTTTGAACCGCATAATTAGTTCCCTACACGTCCTAGATTTCTGCATCACGTGTGTTGATTGATAACGGTTGACTGTGTTGGTGTGTTGATTGATAACGTCCCATTTTGGTGTGCTGGAATTTCGACTGTGTTGACGAGGATTGACCGTAGCAGTCGTCACGTGTGTCATTGATAACGGTTCAGTACGTTTTTTACCGTTTCGAGGTGGTACGCGCACTAACCGTGTGAGATCGTGAGGGACCCTACCGAACCGCATTCATCAAAAGATACCGGGCTACCGGGCATCAATTGCATGCAGCTCTCCCACGTTCTCCAAATCTCATATACAAAACAAGCTGAGTCAGATACGCAGAGCTCTTCAAACATGTTTCTCCTCGAACGATGCTACGAGAGTGGCATTCTGCCTTATAAACCTGGGTAACGAGTGGCTTATGTCAAACATATATCTATATGTTAGTGTTATTGCTAGGCTGTAGTGGGGTAGATAGTGTGGGGTATAACCCCTTAGGTTGGTTTTTCCCCTTGTACCAACTCTCTCGACACTCCATTCATCCTTGCCTAAGTCTTGACATGGCATCTAGAGCACTAGGTTCTAGGACCAAAGAATAGGGCCCACCACGTGCCTGCCTGCCTTGACTGCGGCCTCACTACCTGCCTGCCTGCCCGCGCGCGCCTCGGCTGCCCGCGCGCGGCCTCTTTTTTTTGCCCGCGCGCGGCCTCTTTTTTTTCCCGCGCGGCCCGTTTAGGCGCGTTTTTAGCCTATTTTCGGCCCAGTGCGCCATGTCAGCCGCCCGCGCAGCCTGCCGCTGGCCCGCGAGTCACGTAAGCCGCCCGAGCGCGGCCCGCTTAGGCCCCGCCCGCGCAGCCCGCCGCCGCACGTAGCCTGCAGCCGCGCGCAGTTCGTCGCCACGCGAAATAAGCAGCCGCGCGCGGCCAGCAGCCGCGCACAGTCAGCAGCCGCGCGCAGCCCGCAGCCGCGCGCAGCCCGCAGCCGCGCGTGCCCTGCCCGTGTGCCTGCCTCCGCGGCCCGCTGCTGCCCGCGCGTCGCCTCCTCCAGTGACGGCGCGCTGCCCCCCGTCGCCCGTCCCGGCGCCAGTGGGACCCGCGCGCTGCCCTGCACCAGCTACGCCGCCCCTGGAGCAGCCGCCCCTGGACCCAGAGCAGCCGCCCCTGGCCCTTGAAGCAGCCGCCCCTGGAGCAGCCGCCCCTGGACCCAGAGCAGCCGCCCCTGGCCCCTGAAGCAGCCGCCCCTGGTGCAGCCGCCCCTGGACCCAGAGCAGCCGCCCCTGGCCCCTGAAGCAGCCGCCCCTGGTGCAGCCGCCCCTGGACCCAGAGCAGCCGCCCCTGGCCCCTGAAGCAGCCGCCCCTGGTGCAGCCGCCCCTGGACCCCGTGCAGCCGCCCCTGGACCCAGAGCAGCCGCCCCTGGACCCTCGAGCGCCGCCCCTGGACCCAGAGCAGCCGCCCCTGGCCCCTGCAGCAGCCGCCCCTGGACCCCGAGCAGCCGCCCCTGGCCCCTGAAGCAGCCGCCCCTGGTGCAGCCGCCCCTGGGCCCTCGAGCAGCCGCCCCTGGACCCAGAGCAGCCGCCCCTGGCCCCTGCAGCAGCCGCCCCTGGTGCAGCCGCCCCTGGACTCCGTGCAGCCGTCCCTGGACCCGCGACGCCGCCCCTGGACCCCGTGCAGCCGCCCGCCGAGCGCCGGCCCTGCTCGCCCGGCGAGCGCCTTCTCTTCCCGCCACTGGTGAGCACCTGCCTTGTTTGCGCGCTACCGCGCCATCTGCCTGCCTGCCTGCCTGCCTGCCGGCCTGCCTGCCTGCCTGCCTGCCGCGCCTGCCCTGCACGCGCTGCTGCTGCTACTACTACTGTTACTGCTGCTACTACTGCTACTACTGCTATTGGCGGTGGCCAGATGCAGCTCCAGCGACGTCCGCGTGAGTCCCTCACGCCCCAGCAACTTAGTGAGTGGTACGCTAGTTGGGGTTGTAGAGGTGGCCGCGCTGCTACTGCTGCTACTGCTGTTCCTGCTGCTACTGCTGCTACTACTCCTACTGCTGCTACTGGCGGTGGCCGTCGTAGCTGTCGCCCTGGAGCTGGCCAGTTGGGAGCGTCTGGCAGTGGTCAGCTGCAACTGCAGCGGCGTCCACGCGAGACACTTACGCCACGGCAGCTTCACGAGTGGTACGCTCAGAGTAGAGGGTCTTTGAGTACCGTTCGCTGCCCGTACGTCATTCGCACAGGTGATCGGACTGGTCAGGCTTGCGGGACGCCTGGTCACACACAGTCCCGCTGCTTCGCCCGTCTGAGTGACGCCTGGCGTACCGAGTTTGGCGACGAGGCTGAGCTCCCCGACTGGGTGGAGCTGCTTGGGCAGGGGGTAGATATATTTGCTCTTGACTATGATGCTATTCTCACTGCCATCTATGCATTGACTGTTAGTGCTGAGGGTGACTGCTACTTGTGTGTGCCGCCGGATCCTGGTATAGCCCCTGCAGCACTAGGTGCTTGTGAGTCTGCTCCCCCTGGTACTGCGCCTGCACAGGCCTTGCACACCTTTACACTTGACTCTGGTGCTTCCCGCTGTTTCTTCCGCGACAGTACCACAGTCACTCCCCTCCCTGCACCTGTTCCTGTCTCACTGGCTGACCCCTCTGGGTGTTATAGCCACAATAGGCTTGAATGTGCCTAAAACGAAAGATAGAGAGCACAGACGGATTTCTGCACAGCGGCTTCAAACGTTGATAGCGTTCTGCTCACAGCTGCAAATGACTTGATTCAAATTGGATCTGGAGCGTCTTCACGTCGTCTACAATTAGCAATTTAGATTGCACGATTTTATGAAGAATTGACGACACAACGTCGGTTTGAACGAACGGTACTATGGCAACCACTATAGTCTTAGAACACAAGATAGGAAGAGTTACGAGTTGGGAATGACTCCCAGCTCCTACAAACCCCAAGAGCCGAGGTACAGTGATGTGGAACAGTGCCACACTGTCCCCAACCACGAAGGGTCTCGAAACTACCCTTCACTAGGGCCTACACCAAGTGAAATGTTACACTACACAAAGTAATGTAACTATCTTCAATATCTTGAGGTGTACCCTTTTGGCAAGCTTCGAAATCACTTGAGGCTTGACACCAAGGCTCGGGCTCTTCATCACAAACTCATCCTTGAGTTCTTGATGGGTCTGCTGCACACACCTGCGACACGCCGAACGTTCGACACAGGACAAAATAGAAACCGCGCACGACAAAATAGAAACCGCGCGCGAGACACAAACGACCGCGTAACACGCGTCTAGCGATAACTCGCTATTGACTCGACACACACACTCGACATCATGACTCAACATTCACACACAATTATAAGCATGAAATATATATTATCCCATGCCCTCATACCATTCCATACACACACACATTCACGCACACGGACAACAAGCCGAGTGCAAACCGTAGGGTTGCACCAACACTGGGGGCCCAGTGCTTGCACGTTCTTACACTGTGCTTCCGTGTCCGGCGGTCCCGTCTGGTGAGCTGTCTGGTCTCCACCTCCCCTCGTTCTCTACGAACTTGGTGAGCAACGCTGTCCTCCAGGATGCGGGGGTTGACACCTTCACCCTGGCCGGCAGCGTGTGGCGATCTGCACGTGTTCCCGGACCGGCCGCCACCTGGCCACGTTCACCCGTGCGCCAGGGTCCAGTCTGTACACCCTCACCACTGCGTCGCGCTCCACCCCTTTGTCTCCCCAGCTGCACGTGTCTGCTCAGGTAGCTACCCAGTGTGAGTGTCGCCGGCTGTCGCACGACACTCTCCTGTGGCACCACCGCCTTGGTCACCCCTCCCTGCCTCGCCTTCGTAGCATGCACTCTCGCTTCCTGGTCTCTGGTCTTCCCAGGTCTCTGCCTGCCCTCCCTCCCTCGCCTGCGCCGCCCTGCATTCCTTGCGTCGAGGGGCGACAGCGCGCCGCTCCTCACTCCTCATCGTTTCCTCCCACAGAGGCTCCACTGCAGACACTCCACCTGGACGTGTGGGGCCCAGCCCGTGTCCAGGGGCAGGGCCACGAGCGGTACTTCCTGCTGGTGGTCGACGACTACACGCGTTACACCACGGTCTTCCCCTTGCAGCGCAAGGCGGATGTCCCTGCTGTTTTGATCCCTTGGATCCGCGCTGTTCGTCTCCAGCTCCGCGAGCAGTTCCAGTCGGACTTTCCTGTCCTGCGTCTGCACTCTGACAGAGGTGGTGAGTTCTCCTCCGACCTCTTGGCAGCCTACTGTGCGGAGCACGGCATCACCCAGTCGTTCACGCTTCCGGCCTCTCCGCAGCAGAATGGGGTTGCTGAGCGCCGCATTGGCTTAGTCATGGAGGTCGCTCGTACCTCCATGATCCATGCGGCTGCCCCCCATTTTCTGTGGCCGTTTGCGGTCCGGTACGCCGCGCATCAGCTCAACCTCTGGCCCCGTGTCTCCTTGCCGGAGACCTCGCCCACACTGCTGTGGACGGGGAAGGTTGGCGATGCGTCGCGTTTCCGGGTCTGGGGTGCTCGTGCCTTTGTCCGCGATACCACCGCGGACAAGCTCTCCCCTCGCGCCATTCCTTGCGTCTTCCTTGGTTTTGTCCCTGACGCGCCTGGCTGGCAGTTTTACGACCCCGCCTCGCGCCGTGTCTTTCCGTCTCAGGACGTCACCTTTGACGAGTCAGTTCCCTTCTACCGTCTCTTTCCCTACCGCACTGCCCCTCGCCCCCCCCCGCCGCTCTTTCTCGCCCCAGGTCCTCCCCAGGTAGACCCCCTTCCCGCGCCAGGTCCTGCTCCCTCAGGTGTTTCTCAGGTAGACCCTCCCGTCCCTGCGCCTGCTGAGGTCACTGGTGACTCCGGTCCTGCTGGGAGTGGTGCTGTCCCTGGGGGTGCGGAGCTTGGGGGTGCGCAGCGTTGGGGTGCTGGGTCTGGGGGCGCTGAGCGTGAGGAGCCTGAGGGTGCGGAGCCTGGGGGTGCTGAGCCTGCGTGTGCGGAGCCTGGGGGTGCTGAGTCTGGGGGTGAGTCGCCTGAGGGTTCTGAGACTGCTGTTCCGCGGTCTCCTTGGAGTAGCCGTCTTCGTCCGCGTGTGCCTCTCACCTCCCAGCAGCTGCACGACTGGTACGGTCGCCGTCAGCGTCGCGCTACTGCACCTCAGGTCTCTCCTGCTGGGGGTCCTTCTGCTGAGGTCACTGGCGTTGGGAGTGGTGCTGGTCCTTTGCCTGCTGGAGGTGCTGGTGTAGTTGGTCCCGGAGGTGCTCGTACTGGGGGTACTGGAGCTGCTGGGGCTGGCGGTGTTGCGTCTGAGGGTGCTGCTCCTGGTGGCACTGCGGCTGGAGACCCTGGGGCTGGAGGTGCCGGTTCTGGGGGTGTTGCAGCAGGTGGAGCTGGTGCTGAGGGTACTGGAGCTGCTGGAGGTGCTGGAGCTGCTGAGGGTACTGGAGCTGCTGGAGGTACTGGAGCTGCTGGAGGTGCTGGAGCTACTGAGGGTACTGGTGCTGCTGGTGGTGCTGGAGCTGTTGAGGGTACTGGAGCTGCTGGGGGTGCTGGGGCTGCTGGTGCTGGTGGCACTGCACAGCCGCGCCTGTTCTTCGCTCCGCCGTCTCCGTCGTCTCTGCCACCGCCTGCCTCTGCACTTCGCCAGGTTCTCAGTCTCCCCTCGTCTACTGGTCTTCCGTTACAGCCTGGCTCACCGCTGCCTGCTCCTTCTCCGTACACAGAGCAGACCGGGGGCCTTGCTGAGCGTCGTGAGCCTGCGTCGCGTCCTGTCTCACCTGTCCGTTCTGGTCGTTCCAGTCGGCGTGTTCCTCGTCAGCGTCAGCCGGCTCCCCCCGGCCCTTCCCTTGTCGTCCGTCGTCCTTCCCCTCCTCTGCAGCGTGTTCCCCTGCCTTCCCCTCCTGCGTCTTCTCTGCCTACCGTTCCTGAGCCTGAGTCAGACCGCACCCGTGCTGCTCACCCTACTGTCACGCGTCTCCTGGCCACTGTTGTCACTGACCCTTCCTTTGAGTCCACTGCTGCGTCTGCCTTAGTCGTTGAGCTTGTCGACTTTGCTGCTCACTGTCGTCTAGACTACGCTGCGAGTCTTGTTGCTGAGTCTGAGTCTGAGTCTGTCTGTCCTCCGTCCGTCGGGGGTGAGTGTGCTCTTGGCACGGACGTCCTTGAGGACAGGCAGGAGGAGTTTGAGTGCTTTGCTGCTGCAGTACCTCATCTTGCGGCCATGCTGCTTGCCCCTGAGGGAGACCCGGATGCTCCAGACATCCCGACCCCGCGCTCTTACGCTGAGGCGATCGCGGGTGAGTACTCCTCTCAGTGGCAGACAGCCATGGACGCAGAGATGGCATCCTGGAAGTCCACTGGCACTTACGTCGACGAGGTTCCCCCTCCTGGGGCGAACATCGTCAGTGGCATGTGGATTTTCAGGGTGAAGCGGCCGCCAGGTTCTCCGCCTGTCTTCAAGGCTCGTTACGTTGCTCGAGGCTTCAGTCAGCGAGAGGGAGTAGACTTCTTCCAGACCTTCTCCCCCACCCCGAAGATGACCACTCTTCGGGTGCTGCTGCACGTTGCCGCTCAGCGTGACTACGAGCTTCACTCTCTTGACTTCAGCACAGCTTTCTTGCAGGGCAGCCTGCACGAGGAGATCTGGCTGCGCCGCCCTCCTGGCTTCACTGGGTCGTTTCCTCCTGGTACCCAGTGGAGCCTCCGGCGGCCAGTCTACGGTCTCCGCCAGGCGCCTCGTGAGTGGCACGACACACTGAGGACTACACTTGCGGCTCTTGGGTTCGCGCCTTCTACTGCTGACCCGTCGCTGTTTCTGCGCACCGACACTTCACTGCCGCCGTTCTACATCCTCGTGTACGTCGACGACTTGGTCTTTGCCACTGCTGACACTGAGGCTCTCGCCCACGTGAAGTCGGAGCTGCAGAAGAGACACACGTGCACAGACCTGGGTGAGCTGACAAGCTATCTTGGCTTGCGGATCACCCGGGACAGAGCACGCCGCACCATCACCCTGACTCAGTCACACATGGTGCAGCAGGTCTTTCAGCGCTTCGGCTTCACCTGGTCCTCGGCACAGGCCACTCCTCTGGCTACAGGTCACTCGCTCTCAGCTCCACCTTCGGACGAGTCCGTAGAGCCGAGTGGTCCTTACCCAGAGCTAGTTGGCTGCCTCATGTACCTGATGACTTGCACTCGTCCTGACCTCGCGTACCCTCTTGGCCTTCTGGCTCGCTACGTGGCTCCTGGTCGGCACCGAAATGTGCACATGGATGCTGCTAAGAGGGTACTGCGCTACTTGTGCAGTACATCAGGCATGGGGTTAGTGCTTGGAGGGAGGAGCTCAGTTATTCTCACTGGGCACTCAGACGCTTCTTGGGTTGACGACCAGGCTACTCAGCGGTCGTCACAGGGTTACACCTTCAGCCTTGGCTCTGGTTTGGTTTCTTGGCGTTCTACTCGCTCGTCTTCAGTTCTCAGCTCCAGTTGTGAGGCTGAGATCTACGCCACAGCCATGGCTGCACAGGAGTTACGCTGGCTCACCTACCTGCTGACCGACTTGGGAGAGCGGCCTCGTTCTCCTCCAGTGCTGTACGTCGACAACAAGGCTGCCATTGCCTTGTGTGAGGAGCACAGACTGGAGCACAGAACGAAGCACATCGCTCTGCGTTACTTCCTGGCTCGAGAGTTGCAGCAGCGTGGTCAGCTTCGTCTGCGTTACGTGGCCACTTAGGCCAACACCGCTGATATATTCACCAAGGCACTTCAGTCTGGTGATCATCAGCGTTTCTGCACTATGCTGGGGCTTGTGCCCACTTTTCCTCACTTGCTGTAGGCTTTGCCTGTACTGTGATCTATCTATATATATACCTGCATGCTTGCTTTGCTAGATTGAGATCACTGTGTTGTTTGTACTGCATATATACCTCTGCATGTGAACTGGCCTTGTGGCCCTTTGCTTGTGCTCAGTGTGTGTGGTGACGTTGTGATCCACCCTGAGCTTGCTTTGCTTTTCTTGACTGGTCTTGTGATCTCCTGCTCTCCCCCACTTTGCCTATGGGGGTGTGTCAAACATATATCTATATGTTAGTGTTATTGCTAGGCTGTAGTGGGGTAGATAGTGTGGGGTATAACCCCTTAGGTTTTTCCCCTTGTACCAACTCTCTGGACACTCCATTCATCCTTGCCTAAGTCTTGACAGCTTAGTAGCTTATACTGACAAACTTCTCTAATTAAGGAAGCGATTGGCAGCAGAGTCCTAGAGTTCTGCACTCAACGCCTAACGATAATGGGTGCATTCACCGAGCTTCGACCACGCACTACAACGACTAGCGGCACTGTTTTTACCGGGTACACCCGTGGATTCAGCTCGCACGCTAGGATACCCTTCGAACGGGCGTCTACTAGTGGAAGGTTTGGTCCAACTAGCAATAAAGTGGCGGGATGGAAGATTAATTTCAGCGGCGTCGCGGTGTTCCTTCAGTACCTGATGTCGCTAATCGCGGGAAAACATGCCGCGACGCCAGAGCCGCCGGGAAAGCCGCGGCTGGTTCTGCTGGCGAATAACTCCTTCGACGCGCGATGCCTCGACGGGAGGTACTAACCAAAGAGTGCAAATCGACTCCGAGTCGATTTGTTCGGAACATAAGCGCGGCTCGTTCTGCTAGGCGAATAACTCCTTTGATTGATTATGTCAATGACAAGTAAACAGCGCGAGGAAAGAGAAACTTTCCCTTGGAAGCGTATCAGTCAGAAAACCTGGGAAAGCGAATGCGGCTTTTCCAACGTCTTAACGTTCTCGGCTCTCCCCCCACATTCCCTCCCCCTCACCTCCCCCTCACCTCCCCCTCACCTCCCCCTCACCTCGCTCCTCCCAATTCCCTCCCCTTCACCCCTCCCCCTCTCTCTGTTCCCTCCCCCTCACCTTCCCCTCCATCTCGCCCCCCCCGACCTCCGCACCCCAGCCCCCCAGGGTACTATTTCCGGCCGGGCACGGGGGGCGGCAAGAGCATGTGGCACATCTACCTGCCGCACGGGGGGTGGTGCCGCAATGCCAACGAGTGTGTCGGCAGGAGCAGGACGGCGCTCGGCAGCAGCACGTTTTACCCCGCCGATCCCACCAACGCGGTATGCTGCGCTCTCCCTTACAGCCCCCTGTTCTCTCCAAAGCCCCCTTCTGTACTCCCACCTACCCTTCCCGAGATGGCGCAAAGCAGCAGCACCTTCTTTCCTCCTCCCTCCTCCTCCAAGGGCGTACCCCCAAGAACGCGGTATGCTGCGCTCTCCCTTACAGCCCCCTGTTCTCTCCAAAGCCCCCTTCTGTACTCCCACCTACCCTTCCCGAGATGGCGCAAAGCAGCAGCACCTTCTTTCCTCCTCCCTCCTCCTCCAAGGGCGTACCCCCAAGAACGCGGTATGCTGCGCTCTCCCTTACAGCCCCCTGTTCTCTCCAAAGCCCCCTTCTGTACTCCCACCTACCCTTCCCGAGATGGCGCAAAGCAGCAGCACCTTCTTTCCTCCTCCCTCCTCCTCCAAGGGCGTACCCCCAAGAACGCGGTATGCTGCGCTCTCCCTTACAGCCCCCTGTTCTCTCCAAAGCCCCCTTCTGTACTCCCACCTACCCTTCCCGAGATGGCGCAAAGCAGCAGCACCTTCTTTCCTCCTCCCTCCTCCTCCAAGGGCGTACCCCCAAGAACGCGGTATGCTGCGCTCTCCCTTACAGCCCCCTGTTCTCTCCAAAGCCCCCTTCTGTACTCCCACCTACCCTTCCCGAGATGGCGCAAAGCAGCAGCACCTTCTTTCCTCCTCCCTCCTCCTCCAAGGGCGTACCCCCAAGAACGCGGTATGCTGCGCTCTCCCTTACAGCCCCCTGTTCTCTCCAAAGCCCCCTTCTGTACTCCCACCTACCCTTCCCGAGATGGCGCAAAGCAGCAGCACCTTCTTTCCTCCTCCCTCCTCCTCCAAGGGCGTACCCCCAAGAACGCGGTATGCTGCGCTCTCCCTTACAGCCCCCTGTTCTCTCCAAAGCCCCCTTCTGTACTCCCACCTACCCTTCCCGAGATGGCGCAAAGCAGCAGCACCTTCTTTCCTCCTCCCTCCTCCTCCAAGGGCGTACCCCCAAGAACGCGGTATGCTGCGCTCTCCCTTACAGCCCCCTGTTCTCTCCAAAGCCCCCTTCTGTACTCCCACCTACCCTTCCCGAGATGGCGCAAAGCAGCAGCACCTTCTTTCCTCCTCCCTCCTCCTCCAAGGGCGTACCCCCAAGAACGCGGTATGCTGCGCTCTCCCTTACAGCCCCCTGTTCTCTCCAAAGCCCCCTTCTGTACTCCCACCTACCCTTCCCGAGATGGCGCAAAGCAGCAGCACCTTCTTTCCTCCTCCCTCCTCCTCCAAGGGCGTACCCCCAAGAACGCGGTATGCTGCGCTCTCCCTTACAGCCCCCTGTTCTCTCCAAAGCCCCCTTCTGTACTCCCACCTACCCTTCCCGAGATGGCGCAAAGCAGCAGCACCTTCTTTCCTCCTCCCTCCTCCTCCAAGGGCGTACCCCCAAGAACGCGGTATGCTGCGCTCTCCCTTACAGCCCCCTGTTCTCTCCAAAGCCCCCTTCTGTACTCCCACCTACCCTTCCCGAGATGGCGCAAAGCAGCAGCACCTTCTTTCCTCCTCCCTCCTCCTCCAAGGGCGTACCCCCAAGAACGCGGTATGCTGCGCTCTCCCTTACAGCCCCCTGTTCTCTCCAAAGCCCCCTTCTGTACTCCCACCTACCCTTCCCGAGATGGCGCAAAGCAGCAGCACCTTCTTTCCTCCTCCCTCCTCCTCCAAGGGCGTACCCCCAAGAACGCGGTATGCTGCGCTCTCCCTTACAGCCCCCTGTTCTCTCCAAAGCCCCCTTCTGTACTCCCACCTACCCTTCCCGAGATGGCGCAAAGCAGCAGCACCTTCTTTCCTCCTCCCTCCTCCTCCAAGGGCGTACCCCCAAGAACGCGGTATGCTGCGCTCTCCCTTACAGCCCCCTGTTCTCTCCAAAGCCCCCTTCTGTACTCCCACCTACCCTTCCCGAGATGGCGCAAAGCAGCAGCACCTTCTTTCCTCCTCCCTCCTCCTCCAAGGGCGTACCCCCAAGAACGCGGTATGCTGCGCTCTCCCTTACAGCCCCCTGTTCTCTCCAAAGCCCCCTTCTGTACTCCCACCTACCCTTCCCGAGATGGCGCAAAGCAGCAGCACCTTCTTTCCTCCTCCCTCCTCCTCCAAGGGCGTACCCCCAAGAACGCGGTATGCTGCGCTCTCCCTTACAGCCCCCTGTTCTCTCCAAAGCCCCCTTCTGTACTCCCACCTACCCTTCCCGAGATGGCGCAAAGCAGCAGCACCTTCTTTCCTCCTCCCTCCTCCTCCAAGGGCGTACCCCCAAGAACGCGGTATGCTGCGCTCTCCCTTACAGCCCCCTGTTCTCTCCAAAGCCCCCTTCTGTACTCCCACCTACCCTTCCCGAGATGGCGCAAAGCAGCAGCACCTTCTTTCCTCCTCCCTCCTCCTCCAAGGGCGTACCCCCAAGAACGCGGTATGCTGCGCTCTCCCTTACAGCCCCCTGTTCTCTCCAAAGCCCCCTTCTGTACTCCCACCTACCCTTCCCGAGATGGCGCAAAGCAGCAGCACCTTCTTTCCTCCTCCCTCCTCCTCCAAGGGCGTACCCCCAAGAACGCGGTATGCTGCGCTCTCCCTTACAGCCCCCTGTTCTCTCCAAAGCCCCCTTCTGTACTCCCACCTACCCTTCCCGAGATGGCGCAAAGCAGCAGCACCTTCTTTCCTCCTCCCTCCTCCTCCAAGGGCGTACCCCCAAGAACGCGGTATGCTGCGCTCTCCCTTACAGCCCCCTGTTCTCTCCAAAGCCCCCTTCTGTACTCCCACCTACCCTTCCCGAGATGGCGCAAAGCAGCAGCACCTTCTTTCCTCCTCCCTCCTCCTCCAAGGGCGTACCCCCAAGAACGCGGTATGCTGCGCTCTCCCTTACAGCCCCCTGTTCTCTCCAAAGCCCCCTTCTGTACTCCCACCTACCCTTCCCGAGATGGCGCAAAGCAGCAGCACCTTCTTTCCTCCTCCCTCCTCCTCCAAGGGCGTACCCCCAAGAACGCGGTATGCTGCGCTCTCCCTTACAGCCCCCTGTTCTCTCCAAAGCCCCCTTCTGTACTCCCACCTACCCTTCCCGAGATGGCGCAAAGCAGCAGCACCTTCTTTCCTCCTCCCTCCTCCTCCAAGGGCGTACCCCCAAGAACGCGGTATGCTGCGCTCTCCCTTACAGCCCCCTGTTCTCTCCAAAGCCCCCTTCTGTACTCCCACCTACCCTTCCCGAGATGGCGCAAAGCAGCAGCACCTTCTTTCCTCCTCCCTCCTCCTCCAAGGGCGTACCCCCAAGAACGCGGTATGCTGCGCTCTCCCTTACAGCCCCCTGTTCTCTCCAAAGCCCCCTTCTGTACTCCCACCTACCCTTCCCGAGATGGCGCAAAGCAGCAGCACCTTCTTTCCTCCTCCCTAGCATAGCATTGCCCTGTACATGATTCGGACACACACCGTCGCCAAGCCTAACACCATCTGCCTGCCCATTTCCCAGTTGCCGTCTCACAGTGTTCAAACGCATTTGCATGGTTGGGCATCATGGTCCATGAGCTATGAGGCATGAGACATGAGGCATGAGGCATGAGGCATGAGGCATGAGGCATGAGACATGAGGCATGAGACATGAGGGATGAGGCATGAGGGATGAGGCATGAGGGATGAGGCATGAGGGATGAGGGATGAAGCATGAGGCATGAGGCATGATGTCCATGACATTGGTTGCCCAATGCCGCTTCTCAGTCCCAATGCCCATTGGCTTGACTTGGCCCCATCGCTTCACCTCATGACTTTCACTGGTGCCTCGTCTTCTTATGATGCTGCTGCTACTATTGCTTCAGATGTTGCGGCATGACCTGCAGCAGCATGTCTTTCCCGGACTCTTCCTGCTGCTGCAGGCGATACAAGGTTTAGTGTGCTTTTCCTTATTGTGATGCAAGAAAGAAACGGTGCAAGAGGATAATAACAAACAAAACAGAGGACAGTGGTACTATAAAGCAGGAAACGGGCAATGAAGAGGAGTGACAATAACGAGAAGCGAGTGGAAACCCCCCCACGGCCCCCCCCAAGGCCCCCCTAAGGCCCCCCTACCCCCCAATCCTCCTCACAGCCCCCTACACAGCCCCCCACACAGCATAGCCCCCCTCACACAGCATAGCCCCCCTCACACAGCATAGCCCCCCCCACACAGCATAGCCCCCCTCACACAGCATAGCCCCCCCCACACAGCATAGCCCCCCTCACACAGCATAGCCCCCCTCACACAGCATAGCCCCCCCCACACAGCATAGCCCCCCTCAAACAGCATAGCCCCCCCCACACAGCATAGCCCCCCTCACACAGCATAGCCCCCCTCACACAGCATAGCCCCCCTCACACAGCACCTCACATCACAGACCCCTCACAGAGCCCCCTCGGGCCGGGCCGCCTCTTGCACGCAAGAATCCGGTTTCTGTTTCTGTTGCTCCTGCTTGTTGCATCTCTGCTTGTCTTCCGTCCCTGCTTCTCTTCTTGATGGTCCCTGTCTCTATGCTCCTCTTTCTCTTTCTCCTCCCTTGCACTTCCTGTTACTGTTCATCTCCGAACCAACCAGACCCCGACCCTACAGGCTTGCACTGGCCTGTGCTCAAACCCACAGGCCTCCCCTTCCATCCATCCATCCCCGGGCCTTGCCCAAGCCGCCCCCACCCTTCCTCCCCAGGCATGGCCAGCACACGGCCACACCGCCTCATATAGCAGTATTTACAAAACAAGCACGAGGGAGTGCCTTGCCTACATTCGAAATCCATTCATCGCAACTAGGGACCGGATTTACTATCCTACTTTTTTCACAATGTCTTCAGAATGGCGCCCCACAGGAGATAATGCCACCTGCCCACGGTGGGGAGGGATGAGGTGGGGTGGGGTGGGGTGAGGTGGGGTGGAATGAAGCACGGCACGGATGGCAAGTGTGCGTGAGGGCAAGTGTGAGTGAGGGGCTGCCGAGATGGTGAAACACTCTACAGTGAATACACGGTGCAAGAGAGAAGAAGAGGAACGAAAAGCAGAAATAGTCATACACGCAACAAGAGACGCGGTATGCTGCGCTCTCCCTTACAGCCCCCTGTTCTCTCCAAAGCCCCCTTCTGTACTCCCACCTACCCTTCCCGAGATGGCGCAAAGCAGCAGCACCTTCTTTCCTCCTCCCTCCTCCTCCAAGGGCGTACCCCCAAGAACGCGGTATGCTGCGCTCTCCCTTACAGCCCCCTGTTCTCTCCAAAGCCCCCTTCTGTACTCCCACCTACCCTTCCCGAGATGGCGCAAAGCAGCAGCACCTTCTTTCCTCCTCCCTCCTCCTCCAAGGGCGTACCCCCAAGAACGCGGTATGCTGCGCTCTCCCTTACAGCCCCCTGTTCTCTCCAAAGCCCCCTTCTGTACTCCCACCTACCCTTCCCGAGATGGCGCAAAGCAGCAGCACCTTCTTTCCTCCTCCCTCCTCCTCCAAGGGCGTACCCCCAAGAACGCGGTATGCTGCGCTCTCCCTTACAGCCCCCTGTTCTCTCCAAAGCCCCCTTCTGTACTCCCACCTACCCTTCCCGAGATGGCGCAAAGCAGCAGCACCTTCTTTCCTCCTCCCTCCTCCTCCAAGGGCGTACCCCCAAGAACGCGGTATGCTGCGCTCTCCCTTACAGCCCCCTGTTCTCTCCAAAGCCCCCTTCTGTACTCCCACCTACCCTTCCCGAGATGGCGCAAAGCAGCAGCACCTTCTTTCCTCCTCCCTCCTCCTCCAAGGGCGTACCCCCAAGAACGCGGTATGCTGCGCTCTCCCTTACAGCCCCCTGTTCTCTCCAAAGCCCCCTTCTGTACTCCCACCTACCCTTCCCGAGATGGCGCAAAGCAGCAGCACCTTCTTTCCTCCTCCCTCCTCCTCCAAGGGCGTACCCCCAAGAACGCGGTATGCTGCGCTCTCCCTTACAGCCCCCTGTTCTCTCCAAAGCCCCCTTCTGTACTCCCACCTACCCTTCCCGAGATGGCGCAAAGCAGCAGCACCTTCTTTCCTCCTCCCTCCTCCTCCAAGGGCGTACCCCCAAGAACGCGGTATGCTGCGCTCTCCCTTACAGCCCCCTGTTCTCTCCAAAGCCCCCTTCTGTACTCCCACCTACCCTTCCCGAGATGGCGCAAAGCAGCAGCACCTTCTTTCCTCCTCCCTAGCATAGCATTGCCCTGTACATGATTCGGACACACACCGTCGCCAAGCCTAACACCATCTGCCTGCCCATTTCCCAGTTGCCGTCTCACAGTGTTCAAACGCATTTGCATGGTTGGGCATCATGGTCCATGAGCTATGAGGCATGAGACATGAGGCATGAGGCATGAGGCATGAGGCATGAGGCATGAGACATGAGGCATGAGACATGAGGGATGAGGCATGAGGGATGAGGCATGAGGGATGAGGCATGAGGGATGAGGGATGAAGCATGAGGCATGAGGCATGATGTCCATGACATTGGTTGCCCAATGCCGCTTCTCAGTCCCAATGCCCATTGGCTTGACTTGGCCCCATCGCTTCACCTCATGACTTTCACTGGTGCCTCGTCTTCTTATGATGCTGCTGCTACTATTGCTTCAGATGTTGCGGCATGACCTGCAGCAGCATGTCTTTCCCGGACTCTTCCTGCTGCTGCAGGCGATACAAGGTTTAGTGTGCTTTTCCTTATTGTGATGCAAGAAAGAAACGGTGCAAGAGGATAATAACAAACAAAACAGAGGACAGTGGTACTATAAAGCAGGAAACGGGCAATGAAGAGGAGTGACAATAACGAGAAGCGAGTGGAAACCCCCCCACGGCCCCCCCCCAAGGCCCCCCTAAGGCCCCCCTACCCCCCAATCCTCCTCACAGCCCCCTACACAGCCCCCCACACAGCATAGCCCCCCTCACACAGCATAGCCCCCCTCACACAGCATAGCCCCCCCCACACAGCATAGCCCCCCTCACACAGCATAGCCCCCCCCACACAGCATAGCCCCCCTCACACAGCATAGCCCCCCTCACACAGCATAGCCCCCCTCACACAGCACCTCACATCACAGACCCCTCACAGAGCCCCCTCGGGCCGGGCCGCCTCTTGCACGCAAGAATCCGGTTTCTGTTTCTGTTGCTCCTGCTTGTTGCATCTCTGCTTGTCTTCCGTCCCTGCTTCTCTTCTTGATGGTCCCTGTCTCTATGCTCCTCTTTCTCTTTCTCCTCCCTTGCACTTCCTGTTACTGTTCATCTCCGAACCAACCAGACCCCGACCCTACAGGCTTGCACTGGCCTGTGCTCAAACCCACAGGCCTCCCCTTCCATCCATCCATCCCTGGGCCTTGCCCAAGCCGCCCCCACCCTTCCTCCCCAGGCATGGCCAGCACACGGCCACACCGCCTCATATAGCAGTATTTACAAAACAAGCACGAGGGAGTGCCTTGCCTACATTCAAAATCCATTCATCGCAACTAGGGACCGGATTTACTATCCTACTTTTTTCACAATGTCTTCAGAATGGCGCCCCACAGGAGATAATGCCACCTGCCCACGGTGGGGAGGGATGAGGTGGGGTGGGGTGGGGTGAGGTGGGGTGGAATGAAGCACGGCACGGATGGCAAGTGTGCGTGAGGGCAAGTGTGAGTGAGGGGCTGCCGAGATGGTGAAACACTCTACAGTGAATACACGGTGCAAGAGAGAAGAAGAGGAACGAAAAGCAGAAATAGTCATACACGCAACAAGAGACGCGGTATGCTGCGCTCTCCCTTACAGCCCCCTGTTCTCTCCAAAGCCCCCTTCTGTACTCCCACCTACCCTTCCCGAGATGGCGCAAAGCAGCAGCACCTTCTTTCCTCCTCCCTCCTCCTCCAAGGGCGTACCCCCAAGAACGCGGTATGCTGCGCTCTCCCTTACAGCCCCCTGTTCTCTCCAAAGCCCCCTTCTGTACTCCCACCTACCCTTCCCGAGATGGCGCAAAGCAGCAGCACCTTCTTTCCTCCTCCCTCCTCCTCCAAGGGCGTACCCCCAAGAACGCGGTATGCTGCGCTCTCCCTTACAGCCCCCTGTTCTCTCCAAAGCCCCCTTCTGTACTCCCACCTACCCTTCCCGAGATGGCGCAAAGCAGCAGCACCTTCTTTCCTCCTCCCTCCTCCTCCAAGGGCGTACCCCCAAGAACGCGGTATGCTGCGCTCTCCCTTACAGCCCCCTGTTCTATCCAAAGCCCCCTTCTGTACTCCCACCTACCCTTCCCGAGATGGCGCAAAGCAGCAGCACCTTCTTTCCTCCTCCCTCCTCCTCCAAGGGCGTACCCCCAAGAACGCGGTATGCTGCGCTCTCCCTTACAGCCCCCTGTTCTCTCCAAAGCCCCCTTCTGTACTCCCACCTACCCTTCCCGAGATGGCGCAAAGCAGCAGCACCTTCTTTCCTCCTCCCTCCTCCTCCAAGGGCGTACCCCCAAGAACGCGGTATGCTGCGCTCTCCCTTACAGCCCCCTGTTCTCTCCAAAGCCCCCTTCTGTACTCCCACCTACCCTTCCCGAGATGGCGCAAAGCAGCAGCACCTTCTTTCCTCCTCCCTCCTCCTCCAAGGGCGTACCCCCAAGAACGCGGTATGCTGCGCTCTCCCTTACAGCCCCCTGTTCTCTCCAAAGCCCCCTTCTGTACTCCCACCTACCCTTCCCGAGATGGCGCAAAGCAGCAGCACCTTCTTTCCTCCTCCCTAGCATAGCATTGCCCTGTACATGATTCGGACACACACCGTCGCCAAGCCTAACACCATCTGCCTGCCCATTTCCCAGTTGCCGTCTCACAGTGTTCAAACGCATTTGCATGGTTGGGCATCATGGTCCATGAGCTATGAGGCATGAGACATGAGGCATGAGGCATGAGGCATGAGGCATGAGGCATGAGACATGAGGCATGAGACATGAGGGATGAGGCATGAGGGATGAGGCATGAGGGATGAGGCATGAGGGATGAGGGATGAAGCATGAGGCATGAGGCATGATGTCCATGACATTGGTTGCCCAATGCCGCTTCTCAGTCCCAATGCCCATTGGCTTGACTTGGCCCCATCGCTTCACCTCATGACTTTCACTGGTGCCTCGTCTTCTTATGATGCTGCTGCTACTATTGCTTCAGATGTTGCGGCATGACCTGCAGCAGCATGTCTTTCCCGGACTCTTCCTGCTGCTGCAGGCGATACAAGGTTTAGTGTGCTTTTCCTTATTGTGATGCAAGAAAGAAACGGTGCAAGAGGATAATAACAAACAAAACAGAGGACAGTGGTACTATAAAGCAGGAAACGGGCAATGAAGAGGAGTGACAATAACGAGAAGCGAGTGGAAACCCCCCCACGGCCCCCCCCAAGGCCCCCCTAAGGCCCCCCTACCCCCCAATCCTCCTCACAGCCCCCTACACAGCCCCCCACACAGCATAGCCCCCCTCACACAGCATAGCCCCCCTCACACAGCATAGCCCCCCCCACACAGCATAGCCCCCCTCACACAGCATAGCCCCCCCCACACAGCATAGCCCCCCTCACACAGCATAGCCCCCCTCACACAGCATAGCCCCCCTCACACAGCACCTCACATCACAGACCCCTCACAGAGCCCCCTCGGGCCGGGCCGCCTCTTGCACGCAAGAATCCGGTTTCTGTTTCTGTTGCTCCTGCTTGTTGCATCTCTGCTTGTCTTCCGTCCCTGCTTCTCTTCTTGATGGTCCCTGTCTCTATGCTCCTCTTTCTCTTTCTCCTCCCTTGCACTTCCTGTTACTGTTCATCTCCGAACCAACCAGACCCCGACCCTACAGGCTTGCACTGGCCTGTGCTCAAACCCACAGGCCTCCCCTTCCATCCATCCATCCCCGGGCCTTGCCCAAGCCGCCCCCACCCTTCCTCCCCAGGCATGGCCAGCACACGGCCACACCGCCTCATATAGCAGTATTTACAAAACAAGCACGAGGGAGTGCCTTGCCTACATTCGAAATCCATTCATCGCAACTAGGGACCGGATTTACTATCCTACTTTTTTCACAATGTCTTCAGAATGGCGCCCCACAGGAGATAATGCCACCTGCCCACGGTGGGGAGGGATGAGGTGGGGTGGGGTGGGGTGAGGTGGGGTGGAATGAAGCACGGCACGGATGGCAAGTGTGCGTGAGGGCAAGTGTGAGTGAGGGGCTGCCGAGATGGTGAAACACTCTACAGTGAATACACGGTGCAAGAGAGAAGAAGAGGAACGAAAAGCAGAAATAGTCATACACGCAACAAGAGACGCGGTATGCTGCGCTCTCCCTTACAGCCCCCTGTTCTCTCCAAAGCCCCCTTCTGTACTCCCACCTACCCTTCCCGAGATGGCGCAAAGCAGCAGCACCTTCTTTCCTCCTCCCTCCTCCTCCAAGGGCGTACCCCCAAGAACGCGGTATGCTGCGCTCTCCCTTACAGCCCCCTGTTCTCTCCAAAGCCCCCTTCTGTACTCCCACCTACCCTTCCCGAGATGGCGCAAAGCAGCAGCACCTTCTTTCCTCCTCCCTCCTCCTCCAAGGGCGTACCCCCAAGAACGCGGTATGCTGCGCTCTCCCTTACAGCCCCCTGTTCTCTCCAAAGCCCCCTTCTGTACTCCCACCTACCCTTCCCGAGATGGCGCAAAGCAGCAGCACCTTCTTTCCTCCTCCCTCCTCCTCCAAGGGCGTACCCCCAAGAACGCGGTATGCTGCGCTCTCCCTTACAGCCCCCTGTTCTCTCCAAAGCCCCCTTCTGTACTCCCACCTACCCTTCCCGAGATGGCGCAAAGCAGCAGCACCTTCTTTCCTCCTCCCTCCTCCTCCAAGGGCGTACCCCCAAGAACGCGGTATGCTGCGCTCTCCCTTACAGCCCCCTGTTCTCTCCAAAGCCCCCTTCTGTACTCCCACCTACCCTTCCCGAGATGGCGCAAAGCAGCAGCACCTTCTTTCCTCCTCCCTCCTCCTCCAAGGGCGTACCCCCAAGAACGCGGTATGCTGCGCTCTCCCTTACAGCCCCCTGTTCTCTCCAAAGCCCCCTTCTGTACTCCCACCTACCCTTCCCGAGATGGCGCAAAGCAGCAGCACCTTCTTTCCTCCTCCCTAGCATAGCATTGCCCTGTACATGATTCGGACACACACCGTCGCCAAGCCTAACACCATCTGCCTGCCCATTTCCCAGTTGCCGTCTCACAGTGTTCAAACGCATTTGCATGGTTGGGCATCATGGTCCATGAGCTATGAGGCATGAGACATGAGGCATGAGGCATGAGGCATGAGGCATGAGGCATGAGACATGAGGCATGAGACATGAGGGATGAGGCATGAGGGATGAGGCATGAGGGATGAGGCATGAGGGATGAGGGATGAAGCATGAGGCATGAGGCATGATGTCCATGACATTGGTTGCCCAATGCCGCTTCTCAGTCCCAATGCCCATTGGCTTGACTTGGCCCCATCGCTTCACCTCATGACTTTCACTGGTGCCTCGTCTTCTTATGATGCTGCTGCTACTATTGCTTCAGATGTTGCGGCATGACCTGCAGCAGCATGTCTTTCCCGGACTCTTCCTGCTGCTGCAGGCGATACAAGGTTTAGTGTGCTTTTCCTTATTGTGATGCAAGAAAGAAACGGTGCAAGAGGATAATAACAAACAAAACAGAGGACAGTGGTACTATAAAGCAGGAAACGGGCAATGAAGAGGAGTGACAATAACGAGAAGCGAGTGGAAACCCCCCCACGGCCCCCCCCAAGGCCCCCCTAAGGCCCCCCTACCCCCCAATCCTCCTCACAGCCCCCTACACAGCCCCCCACACAGCATAGCCCCCCTCACACAGCATAGCCCCCCTCACACAGCATAGCCCCCCCCACACAGCATAGCCCCCCTCACACAGCATAGCCCCCCCCACACAGCATAGCCCCCCTCACACAGCATAGCCCCCCTCACACAGCATAGCCCCCCCCACACAGCATAGCCCCCCTCACACAGCATAGCCCCCCCCACACAGCATAGCCCCCCTCACACAGCATAGCCCCCCTCACACAGCATAGCCCCCCTCACACAGCACCTCACATCACAGACCCCTCACAGAGCCCCCTCGGGCCGGGCCGCCTCTTGCACGCAAGAATCCGGTTTCTGTTTCTGTTGCTCCTGCTTGTTGCATCTCTGCTTGTCTTCCGTCCCTGCTTCTCTTCTTGATGGTCCCTGTCTCTATGCTCCTCTTTCTCTTTCTCCTCCCTTGCACTTCCTGTTACTGTTCATCTCCGAACCAACCAGACCCCGACCCTACAGGCTTGCACTGGCCTGTGCTCAAACCCACAGGCCTCCCCTTCCATCCATCCATCCCCGGGCCTTGCCCAAGCCGCCCCCACCCTTCCTCCCCAGGCATGGCCAGCACACGGCCACACCGCCTCATATAGCAGTATTTACAAAACAAGCACGAGGGAGTGCCTTGCCTACATTCGAAATCCATTCATCGCAACTAGGGACCGGATTTACTATCCTACTTTTTTCACAATGTCTTCAGAATGGCGCCCCACAGGAGATAATGCCACCTGCCCACGGTGGGGAGGGATGAGGTGGGGTGGGGTGGGGTGAGGTGGGGTGGAATGAAGCACGGCACGGATGGCAAGTGTGCGTGAGGGCAAGTGTGAGTGAGGGGCTGCCGAGATGGTGAAACACTCTACAGTGAATACACGGTGCAAGAGAGAAGAAGAGGAACGAAAAGCAGAAATAGTCATACACGCAACAAGAGACGCGGTATGCTGCGCTCTCCCTTACAGCCCCCTGTTCTCTCCAAAGCCCCCTTCTGTACTCCCACCTACCCTTCCCGAGATGGCGCAAAGCAGCAGCACCTTCTTTCCTCCTCCCTCCTCCTCCAAGGGCGTACCCCCAAGAACGCGGTATGCTGCGCTCTCCCTTACAGCCCCCTGTTCTCTCCAAAGCCCCCTTCTGTACTCCCACCTACCCTTCCCGAGATGGCGCAAAGCAGCAGCACCTTCTTTCCTCCTCCCTCCTCCTCCAAGGGCGTACCCCCAAGAACGCGGTATGCTGCGCTCTCCCTTACAGCCCCCTGTTCTCTCCAAAGCCCCCTTCTGTACTCCCACCTACCCTTCCCGAGATGGCGCAAAGCAGCAGCACCTTCTTTCCTCCTCCCTCCTCCTCCAAGGGCGTACCCCCAAGAACGCGGTATGCTGCGCTCTCCCTTACAGCCCCCTGTTCTCTCCAAAGCCCCCTTCTGTACTCCCACCTACCCTTCCCGAGATGGCGCAAAGCAGCAGCACCTTCTTTCCTCCTCCCTCCTCCTCCAAGGGCGTACCCCCAAGAACGCGGTATGCTGCGCTCTCCCTTACAGCCCCCTGTTCTCTCCAAAGCCCCCTTCTGTACTCCCACCTACCCTTCCCGAGATGGCGCAAAGCAGCAGCACCTTCTTTCCTCCTCCCTCCTCCTCCAAGGGCGTACCCCCAAGAACGCGGTATGCTGCGCTCTCCCTTACAGCCCCCTGTTCTCTCCAAAGCCCCCTTCTGTACTCCCACCTACCCTTCCCGAGATGGCGCAAAGCAGCAGCACCTTCTTTCCTCCTCCCTCCTCCTCCAAGGGCGTACCCCCAAGAACGCGGTATGCTGCGCTCTCCCTTACAGCCCCCTGTTCTCTCCAAAGCCCCCTTCTGTACTCCCACCTACCCTTCCCGAGATGGCGCAAAGCAGCAGCACCTTCTTTCCTCCTCCCTCCTCCTCCAAGGGCGTACCCCCAAGAACGCGGTATGCTGCGCTCTCCCTTACAGCCCCCTGTTCTCTCCAAAGCCCCCTTCTGTACTCCCACCTACCCTTCCCGAGATGGCGCAAAGCAGCAGCACCTTCTTTCCTCCTCCCTCCTCCTCCAAGGGCGTACCCCCAAGAACGCGGTATGCTGCGCTCTCCCTTACAGCCCCCTGTTCTCTCCAAAGCCCCCTTCTGTACTCCCACCTACCCTTCCCGAGATGGCGCAAAGCAGCAGCACCTTCTTTCCTCCTCCCTCCTCCTCCAAGGGCGTACCCCCAAGAACGCGGTATGCTGCGCTCTCCCTTACAGCCCCCTGTTCTCTCCAAAGCCCCCTTCTGTACTCCCACCTACCCTTCCCGAGATGGCGCAAAGCAGCAGCACCTTCTTTCCTCCTCCCTCCTCCTCCAAGGGCGTACCCCCAAGAACGCGGTATGCTGCGCTCTCCCTTACAGCCCCCTGTTCTCTCCAAAGCCCCCTTCTGTACTCCCACCTACCCTTCCCGAGATGGCGCAAAGCAGCAGCACCTTCTTTCCTCCTCCCTCCTCCTCCAAGGGCGTACCCCCAAGAACGCGGTATGCTGCGCTCTCCCTTACAGCCCCCTGTTCTCTCCAAAGCCCCCTTCTGTACTCCCACCTACCCTTCCCGAGATGGCGCAAAGCAGCAGCACCTTCTTTCCTCCTCCCTCCTCCTCCAAGGGCGTACCCCCAAGAACGCGGTATGCTGCGCTCTCCCTTACAGCCCCCTGTTCTCTCCAAAGCCCCCTTCTGTACTCCCACCTACCCTTCCCGAGATGGCGCAAAGCAGCAGCACCTTCTTTCCTCCTCCCTCCTCCTCCAAGGGCGTACCCCCAAGAACGCGGTATGGTGCGCTCTCCCTTACAGCCCCCTGTTCTCTCCAAAGCCCCCTTCTGTACTCCCACCTACCCTTCCCGAGATGGCGCAAAGCAGCAGCACCTTCTTTCCTCCTCCCTCCTCCTCCAAGGGCGTACCCCCAAGAACGCGGTATGGTGCGCTCTCCCTTACAGCCCCCTGTTCTCTCCAAAGCCCCCTTCTGTACTCCCACCTACCCTTCCCGAGATGGCGCAAAGCAGCAGCACCTTCTTTCCTCCTCCCTCCTCCTCCAAGGGCGTACCCCCAAGAACGCGGTATGCTGCGCTCTCCCTTACAGCCCCCTGTTCTCTCCAAAGCCCCCTTCTGTACTCCCACCTACCCTTCCCGAGATGGCGCAAAGCAGCAGCACCTTCTTTCCTCCTCCCTCCTCCTCCAAGGGCGTACCCCCAAGAACGCGGTATGCTGCGCTCTCCCTTACAGCCCCCTGTTCTCTCCAAAGCCCCCTTCTGTACTCCCACCTACCCTTCCCGAGATGGCGCAAAGCAGCAGCACCTTCTTTCCTCCTCCCTCCTCCTCCAAGGGCGTACCCCCAAGAACGCGGTATGCTGCGCTCTCCCTTACAGCCCCCTGTTCTCTCCAAAGCCCCCTTCTGTACTCCCACCTACCCTTCCCGAGATGGCGCAAAGCAGCAGCACCTTCTTTCCTCCTCCCTCCTCCTCCAAGGGCGTACCCCCAAGAACGCGGTATGCTGCGCTCTCCCTTACAGCCCCCTGTTCTCTCCAAAGCCCCCTTCTGTACTCCCACCTACCCTTCCCGAGATGGCGCAAAGCAGCAGCACCTTCTTTCCTCCTCCCTCCTCCTCCAAGGGCGTACCCCCAAGAACGCGGTATGCTGCGCTCTCCCTTACAGCCCCCTGTTCTCTCCAAAGCCCCCTTCTGTACTCCCACCTACCCTTCCCGAGATGGCGCAAAGCAGCAGCACCTTCTTTCCTCCTCCCTCCTCCTCCAAGGGCGTACCCCCAAGAACGCGGTATGCTGCGCTCTCCCTTACAGCCCCCTGTTCTCTCCAAAGCCCCCTTCTGTACTCCCACCTACCCTTCCCGAGATGGCGCAAAGCAGCAGCACCTTCTTTCCTCCTCCCTCCTCCTCCAAGGGCGTACCCCCAAGAACGCGGTATGCTGCGCTCTCCCTTACAGCCCCCTGTTCTCTCCAAAGCCCCCTTCTGTACTCCCACCTACCCTTCCCGAGATGGCGCAAAGCAGCAGCACCTTCTTTCCTCCTCCCTCCTCCTCCAAGGGCGTACCCCCAAGAACGCGGTATGCTGCGCTCTCCCTTACAGCCCCCTGTTCTCTCCAAAGCCCCCTTCTGTACTCCCACCTACCCTTCCCGAGATGGCGCAAAGCAGCAGCACCTTCTTTCCTCCTCCCTCCTCCTCCAAGGGCGTACCCCCAAGAACGCGGTATGCTGCGCTCTCCCTTACAGCCCCCTGTTCTCTCCAAAGCCCCCTTCTGTACTCCCACCTACCCTTCCCGAGATGGCGCAAAGCAGCAGCACCTTCTTTCCTCCTCCCTCCTCCTCCAAGGGCGTACCCCCAAGAACGCGGTATGCTGCGCTCTCCCTTACAGCCCCCTGTTCTCTCCAAAGCCCCCTTCTGTACTCCCACCTACCCTTCCCGAGATGGCGCAAAGCAGCAGCACCTTCTTTCCTCCTCCCTCCTCCTCCAAGGGCGTACCCCCAAGAACGCGGTATGCTGCGCTCTCCCTTACAGCCCCCTGTTCTCTCCAAAGCCCCCTTCTGTACTCCCACCTACCCTTCCCGAGATGGCGCAAAGCAGCAGCACCTTCTTTCCTCCTCCCTCCTCCTCCAAGGGCGTACCCCCAAGAACGCGGTATGCTGCGCTCTCCCTTACAGCCCCCTGTTCTCTCCAAAGCCCCCTTCTGTACTCCCACCTACCCTTCCCGAGATGGCGCAAAGCAGCAGCACCTTCTTTCCTCCTCCCTCCTCCTCCAAGGGCGTACCCCCAAGAACGCGGTATGCTGCGCTCTCCCTTACAGCCCCCTGTTCTCTCCAAAGCCCCCTTCTGTACTCCCACCTACCCTTCCCGAGATGGCGCAAAGCAGCAGCACCTTCTTTCCTCCTCCCTCCTCCTCCAAGGGCGTACCCCCAAGAACGCGGTATGCTGCGCTCTCCCTTACAGCCCCCTGTTCTCTCCAAAGCCCCCTTCTGTACTCCATGGCGTGCCTCGGCACAGATGCTGGTGGATTTTCACAAGCCCAAATGGACTGACTGCATGGATGGTGAGAGAATAGTGATGAGGAGTGAAACATGGCATGAAACCAATTGTGAAATGCAGCATGCAATGGGTGCAGGAACTTGGCATGTGATGGGTTGTGAAACGTGGCACAATTCGTGGCTTCTGGAATGTGGTGTTAGATGGGTTTGAAGGTATGATGATTCTGAACTTTAGGCGCCTCAGGAATGGAGGCGCCCTAAAAAGATGTGCCGTTGAGTGGGTTTTGAGGGATGGCTTAAAAGGCGCCACAGTCCTGCTATTTACCACTTCTTTCCTCCCACTCTTCCCCTATACTCCCTAATGCCTGCCCCTTATGCTCTCCCTGGTTCCAGTGCCGTTGATTTTCCCCACCAATCCTACTTCTCCCTCCTATTCTCCCCCCTGTTTTCCCCTTTCCCCATTTAAAATCTTCAGCCTTACCAGATACTGATCACTGGATGTGTTTTTTCCCACAATACATACTGCAAAACGTCACTACCCCGATATTTCTGTTCCATGCATTCTTCGACTTTACGGCGAGTACTCTCGGAGGGTTGTTACCTCGAAACTCTACATACGCTTACGCATGCTTACATGAAGTTTCGTGGTCGTCTACAGGAATTATAGCGAGAAAGGAGTGGAGCAGGGTTATGTGGAGGACGAATTACTGTACAGCAGGTGAGCGGGACGCGCTGTTTATTGTGGCTTCAGTTCTATATGACGAGTTGAAGGAGATTACCAGAAGCAAAAACACTGTAGCTGCGTTTGTGCAAGCTGGCATGGCACACGTAGCATTGTGTTACAACTCGTGGACACAAGCAACGATCCGGGGAATGTCGGTAGAGTCTGAAATAGTAAGATGGCTTGCAAACGAGATGACTGGTAGATTTGTGCATAATTAGGCCACTGATGAAGTGACTACACATATCATTCTTTGCCCACAGCAGCAGTTAATATGCTATAGATTGGCAGTAGCAACAAGGAACATAGCACTGTTCACAGTTGCCTTGCCTGTACACTTGCAAATGCAATGCAACAATATTGTCACACGTGCATTAACTGTGAGCATTGCCAACCATGAATGTGAGCTACCATGAATCATACTATGTAAGACATTTGGGCTATTGCAGCGCTATCCCCCGCCTTGTTTTTTGCTGAAAACGCACAGTTGCCTTAATCGAAAGATTGTAGAAACTCGATAGGTAAATTCAGTTCTCACAATGTATAAGTTCGTGTATTTTCCATTTTGCCTAATTGCTTGGGAGTTCTCGTGGTAAAGCACACAAAAACCAATCCTATATCAGCATCAAGTACCAAGCCAGCTGTACATCTCTAGTGCTCCTTCCCATAAAGTTAGCGAGTCGGGATATAAGGTTTACATTTTCTGAAAAAAAGGCGGGAATGGCCTGTCAACGCAATGTCGCGATCTGGGTTATCTAAACTCGCCGGCTAAGACCGAGTCGCTGGCCCAATTTGCCAATTCGTTCCCGAAGCGCCGCTGAATGTGTCAGATTTATATGACATAGCTACTGTAGGCTATAGTGGGGTAGCACATATGGGGTACAGTTTTCCTAGGGTTTGCATTTGTACCCAACTTTCCCTTAGTCATTTCATCCCTCGTTTCTTCTCATGGTATCGAGCAGGTTCCCTAGTGGGAACGATTCCTAGGGCCCACCATCACGAAATTTTTTTTTCCTGCCCGGAGCGCGCTTCGCTCCGGCCCGAGTCGCGCCCGGTGTGCTCTCCCTACCGTCGCGCCCTCGCTAGGCCCCTCATGGCCCCGTCGCGTCGCCCTTAGCGGCCCTCTCACGGCTCGTCGCGCCGCCCCTACGGCCCTTCGCGCCGCCCTTACGGCCCTTCGTGCCGCCCTTACGGCCCGTCGCGCCCGTCGCGCCGTCCTTACGGCCCCTCGTGCCGCCCCTTACGGCCCCTCGCGCCGTCCCTTACGGCCCCTCGCTCGGCCCCTTACGCCCTCCGCGGCCCCGCCACCTACCTGTGCGGCCCCGCCACCTACCTGTGCGGCCCCGCCATCTACCTGCGGCCCCGCCACCTACCAGCGGCCCCGCCACCTACCCGCGGCCCCGCCACCTACCTGTGCGGCCCCGCCACCTTCCTGCTGGCCCCGCCACCTACCTGCGGCCCCGCCACCTACCAGCGGCCCCGCCACCTACCTGCGGCCCCGCCACCTACCTGCGGCCCCGCCACCTACCAGCGGCCCCGCCACCTACCTGCGGCCCCGCCACCTACCTGCGGCCCCGCCACCTACCAGCGGCCCCGCCACCTACCTGCGGCCCCGCCACCTACTAGCGGCCCCGCCACCTACCTGTGGCCCCGCCACCTACCTTTGCGGCCCCGCCGCCTCCTCTCAGCGGCCCCGCCGCCTCCTCCCAGCGGCCCCGGACGCCGCCCTCTCAGCGGCCCCGCCGAGCCGCCCAGCAGCCGAGCCGCCCAGCAGCCGAGCCGCCCAGCCGCCGAGCCGCCCAGCAGCCGAGCCGCCCAGAAGCCGAGCCGCCGAGCCGCCCAACAGCCGAGCCGCCGAGCCGCCCAGCAGCCGAGCCGCCGAGCCGCCCAGCAGCCGAGCCGCCGAGCCGCCGAGCAGCCGAGCCGCCGAGCCGCCCTGCAGCCGAACCACCCGAGCCGCCCTGTCCGGTAAGAGCAGCGCCTCTTTCACAGCACTGCCCTCACCCTACTGTTTGCGCTGCTAGTCTACTGCTGTCATGGCTACCCCTAGTGTCCTCGCTTTTGACGCTGAGGGTCGGGCCATTGACTTTGACGTCTGGATAGATGACCTGCAGCTTTTCTTACAGTGCGACAGAGCAGATGGCCTCTCCCTCTTTGACCTCACTTCTGGTGCCTCTCCTGCCCCCGCTGCTGATGCTGACGCCACTGTTCGCTCACAGTGGGCCACGCGCGATGCTGCTGCACGTCTTGCTGTGCGTCGCCACCTGCCTACCTCTGAGCGTGCGCACTTTAGCCAGTACAAGAGTGCTCAGACCTTGTACGACGCTGTAGTTGCGCGCTACTCCTCCCCTGCCACTGCTGCACTGAGCCGCCTCATGCTACCGTACCTCTTCCCTGACCTTGCTGCCTTTCCCACAGTCGCTGACCTCATTACGCACCTCCGCACTAGTGACACTCGCTACCGCGCTGCGCTTCCTACTGAGTTCTGCGCCAAGAACCCCCCCCCCATGTACATCACCCTCTACTACATAGTCACCCGGCTCCCTGACTCCCTTCGCGTAGTCAGGGACCACTTCCTCTCAGTTTGCCCCACCACTCTCACCGTTGACCTCCTCGAGAAGTCCCTCCTAGCAGCAGAAAAGAGCATAGTAGCTGTAGGAGCCTCTCGTGGTGACCCTCGCACCCCCATCTTTGAGGGGTGTTCCCCCTCCCCCCTTTTGCCCTCTGTTGCCTCTGCTGCTGCGGCCGACCTCGTTGGGCTTGAGTCGGTCGGTGCGGCGTCTACCCCTAGCGGGAGACGCCGCCCTGGCAAGGGCAAGGGGGGCAGGGGCTCTGGAGGAGCTAGCGGGGGCGGTGGAGGCGGCGGTGGAGGCAGTGGAGGGGGTGGGGGTGGCGGTGGGGGTGGTGGTGGGGGTGGAGGTGTCGGTGGCGGCGGTGGAGGCGGAGGCGGCGGCGGCGGTGGCGGTGGGATCGGAGGTGGCGGCGGTGGAGGAGGCGGCGGCGGAGGAGGTGGAGCTGGTCGGGGTGGCGCTGCGCAGAGGGTCGGCTCCGGTGGTGGTCAGCGCCAGCAGCAGCAGCAGCAGCAGCAGCAGCGCACTCGTGACATCCCCCCTCCTCAGCAGCTCCGTGAGTGGAACGCTGCACGCCAGCGGGGTGGGGGTACTGGTCCGTGCACCTACGTCCTACGCACCGGCGACCGCGCGGGTGACCAGTGCGGGGGTGCGCACTCCACCCAGCGCTGCTTTGGCCGCCTGACGGACGCTTGGCGTCACCAGTTCCCTGAGGCCACTGAGATCCCCCGCTGGGGTGAGCTGTCTAGGGCGGGTGTCGCTGTCTTTGACCTTGACTTTGATGCTATTCTTGCTGCCATGTATACTGTGACTATTAGTGATGAGGGTGACTGTTACCGGTGTTTTCCGCCCGACCCGGGCATTGAGACTGCTGCTCTAGGTACTGGTGAGGCTGCTGCTCTAGGTGCTAGCGAGGCTGCTGCTCTAGGTGCGTCTGCTCCCTCAGGTGCTGGTGAGTCTGCTCTCTCAGGTTCTGCGTCGGCTTCGGCCTCCCACACCTTCACCCTTGACTCGGGGGCTTCTCGCTCCTTCTTTCGAGACCGCACCACACTCACGCCGCTTGGCCGGCCAGTTGCGGTCTCTCTGGCAGACCCCTCTGGGGGTCCTGTCCTTGCTCACTTCTCCACTGTCCTCCCGTGTCCGGCGGCCCCCTCTGGCACCCTATCTGGTCTTTACCTCCCCTCGTTCTCTACGAACTTGGTGAGTGGTGCTGACCTACAGGATGCGGGGGTTCACCAGTTCACTCCTGCGAGTCAGCGGGTGACCCACTGCACGGACGCTCGGACTGGCCGACACCTGGCCACGTTTACCCGTCGGCCGGGGTCGAGCCTGTACACCCTGACCACTGCGTCTCCTCCAGTCGCTGCGTCTGGTCAGGTAGCTGCGTCGGGTCAGGTGTTTGCTGCAGCGTCCAGGTCTGGTCCTGAGTCTGCCCCCTGTTCGTGTCGCCTCCTGTCTCACGAGACTCTCCTCTGGCACCACCGCCTTGGTCACCCCTCCCTGCTTCGTCTCCGAGGCATGGCCTCCCGTGTCCTTGTCTCTGGTCTTCCCCGGTCCCTCCCTCCCCTTCCTCCGGGGCCTGGCCCTACCTGCGTCCCCTGTGTCGAGGGGCGGCAGCGGGCTGCCCCTCACTCCTCCCAGTTTCCTCCGACAGAGGCCCCGCTGCAGACGCTTCACATGGACGTGTGGGGCCCGGCCCGCGTCCGTGGACAGGGTCACGAGCGCTACTTCCTGCTGGTGGTTGACGACTACTCGCGTTACACCACAGTCTTCCCCTTGCGCAGCAAGGGTGATGTCACTGAGGTGTTGATCGACTGGATCCGCGCAGCTCGTCTACAGCTCAGGCAGAGCTTCGGCTCGGACTTTCCTGTTCTGCGTCTGCACTCTGACAGAGGTGGAGAGTTCTCCTCTGGCCTTCTGCGAGCCTACTGTCGTGCACGAGGCATCCGCCAGACCTTCACGCTTCCGGACTCTCCACAGCAAAATGGGATTGCTGAGCGCCGCATTGGCATGGTCATGGACGTCGCCCGTACGTCCATGATGCATGCGGCTGCCCCCCATTTTCTGTGGCCGTTTGCGGTTCGGTACGCGGCGCATCAGATCAACCTTCACCCTAGGGTCTCTAGACCGGAGACCTCCCCTGCTTTGCTGTGGACGGGGAAGGTTGGCGATGCGTCTGCGTTCCGTGTCTGGGGATCTCGGGCGTTTGTCCGCGACTTGTCTGCGGACAAGCTGTCCCCTCGTGCTGCTCCTTGCGTCTTCCTTGGCTTCCCCCCTGACGCGCCAGGGTGGCAGTTCTACCACCCCACCTCTCGTCGTGTTCTGTCCTCCCGGGACGTCACGTTTGACGAGTCGGTCCCCTACTACCGCCTCTTCCCCTACCGCACTCCGTCCCTCCCCCCGCCACCGCTCTTCCTTGTACCAAGTCCCCCCCCGGTAGACCCCCTCCCCCCTCAGGGTCCTGCCCCTTCAGGTGTGTCCCAGGTAGACGCAGTCGAGCCTGTCGAGGTTACTGGTGACTCTGGTGCTGCTGAGGGTGCTGAGCCAGGGGGTGCTGACTCTGGGGGTGCTGAGCGTGTGGGTGCTACGCCTGGGGGTGCTGAGCCTGAGGGTGCTACTACTGGGGGTCCTGAGCCTGGGGGTGCTGAGCCTGGGGGTGCTACTACTGGGGGTGCTGAGCCTGGGGGTGCTGAGCCTGGGGGTGCTACGCCTGGGGGTGCTGAGCCTGGGGGTGCCACGCCTGGAGGTGCTGAGCTTGGGGGTGCGGAGCCTGAGGGAGCTGGGCCTGCTCGTGTGGCGTCTGGCGGTGCTGAGCCTGGAGGTTCTCCGGGTGCTTCGTCTCGGCGGGAGCCACTCTCTCCACAGGAGCTGCGCGAGTGGTTTGCCCGGCGCTGGAGGCGTGCTGCTGGAGCTGGAGGTTCGTCGGCTGCTGAGGGTGCTGGTGCCGCGGGTCCCGGAGGTGCTCGTACTGGGAGTACTGGAGCTGCTGGGCCTGCGGGTACGACTGGAGCTGGAGCTGCTGAGGGTGTTGGCGCTGAGGCTACTGCTGTCGGTCCTGGAGGCGGTCCTGCTGGGGGTGCTACTGGTGCTGCTGGAGGTACTGGAGCTGGAGGTGCTGCTGGCGCTGGTGCTGCCGCTGGGGGTACTGGTGCTGTCCCTGCTGTGTCTGGAGTCGCCGCGCGGCCTAGGCCGTACTTCGTTCCGCTCCTTCAGCAGGTTCTTGGTCTCCCGCCTTCTACTGGTCCTCTTCCTCCCTTAGAGTGTCCACAGCCTGTCCCGTCACAGTTACAGTTACAGCCGGCCTCCCCACTGCCCGCTCCTTCTCCCTACACTGGTCCTACTGGAGGTCTTGCTGAGCGTCGTGAGCCTGCGTCTCGCCCTGCGTCGCCTGTCCGTGCTGCTCGCACTAGTGGTCGTGGTTCGCGTCAGCGTCCTCCTCTTGTCCCTGGCACGCACCGGATGTCTCTGCGTCCGTCCACTGCTCCTCTGCGTGCCCCTTTGCCTTCTCCTCCTGAGTCCTCTCTTCCTGCTCTTCCTGACCCGGAGTCGGACTCTCTTCGTGCTGCCAGTCCTACTGTCACGCGTCTCCTGGCTACTGTTGTCACTGACCCTTCCTTCGAGTCCACTGCTGCGTCTGCCCTAGTTACTGAGCTCGTCGACTTTGCTGCTCGCTGTCGTCTAGACTACGCTGCTAGTCTTGTTGTTGAGTCTGAGTCTGTCTGTCCTCCGTCCGTCGGGGGTGAGTGTGCCCTTGGCACGGACGTCCTTGAGGACAGGCAGGAGGAGTTCCAGTGTTTGGCTGCTGCTTCACCTCATCTCGTGTCCGTACTGCTTACCCCTGAGGGAGACCCGGATGCACTTGACATCCCGACTCCGCGCTCTTACGCGGAGGCGATAGAGGGTCCCTACTCCTCTCAGTGGCAGGCAGCTATGGACGCAGAGATGGCTTCCTGGAAGTCCACAGGCACCTACGTTGACGAGGTTCCCCCGCCTGGGGCGAACATCGTCAGTGGCATGTGGATTTTCAGGGTGAAGCGGCCGCCGGGTTCTCCGCCTGTCTTCAAGGCGCGTTACGTGGCTCGTGGCTTCAGTCAGCGGCAGGGAGTTGACTACTTTCAGACCTTCTCTCCCACCCCGAAGATGACCACTTTTCGGGTACTGCTGCACATAGCTGCTCACCGCGACTACGAGCTGCACTCTCTTGAATTCAGCACTGCTTTCTTGCAGGGCAGCCTGCACGAGGAGATCTGGCTGCGTCGCCCACCTGGCTTCACTGGGTCCTTTCCTCCTGGCACCCAGTGGAGCCTCCGGCGGCCAGTCTACGGTCTCCGCCAGGCACCGCGTGAGTGGCACGACACACTGAGGACTACACTTGCGGCTCTTGGGTTTGCTCCCTCTATTGCCGACCCGTCGCTGTTTCTGCGCACCGACACTTCTTTGCCGCCGTTCTACATCCTCGTGTACGTCGACGACTTGGTCTTCGCCACAGCTGACACTGCTGGACTCGCCCACGTGAAGTCCGAGCTGCAGAAGAGACACACGTGCACAGACCTGGGTGAACTGCGTAGCTACCTTGGCTTGCAGATCACCCGGGACAGAGCACGCCGCACCATTACCCTGACTCAGTCACACATGGTGCAGCAGGTCCTTCAGCGCTTCGGCTTCACGTACTCCTCGCCTCAGGCCACTCCTCTGCCTACTCGCCACTCGCTCTCAGCTCTGCCTTCGGATGAGTCCGTAGAGTCGAGTGGCCCGTACCCAGAGCTTGTTGGCTGCCTCATGTACCTGATGACCTGCACACGACCTGACCTTGCATACCCTCTTAGCATTCTTGCACGCTATGTTGCTCCTGGGAGACACAGACCGGAGCACATGGCTGCAGCGAAGAGGGTGTTGCGCTACTTGTGCAGTACGTCGGGCATGGGGCTTGTGCTTGGAGGGCAGAGTCCAGTGGTCCTCACTGGGCACGCAGACGCTTCTTGGGCTGACGACCAGGCTACGCAGCGGTCGTCACAGGGTTACACCTTCAGCCTTGGTTCCGGCTCTGTTTCGTGGCGGGCTACCCGCTCGTCTTCTGTTCTCGGCTCCAGTTGTGAGGCTGAGATCTACGCCGGGGCCATGGCTGCACAAGAGCTTCGCTGGCTCACCTACCTGCTGACTGACCTCGGAGAGCCGCCTCGTTCTCCTCCAGTACTGTACGTAGACAACAAGGCCATACTGGCCTTGTGTCGAGAGCAGAGACTGGAGCACAAAACGAAGCACATTGCTCTCCGCTACTTCCTTGCTCGTGAGCTACAGCAGCGTAGTCAGCTGCGGCTTTCGTACGTGGCCTCTGAGGCCAACACTACTGATATCTTCACCAAGGCACTTGCGCCTTGTGATCATCAGCGCTTCTGTACTCAGCTGGGTCTTGTGCCTACCTTGCCTCACTTGCTCACCCCTTGACCTTGTTTGTACTGTTGCATACATATATACACCTGCTCTTGCTTGTCTAGCCTTATATATATATGTAATCCTGCATGTGAACTGGCCTTGTGGCCTTGAACTTGTGCTCGGAATGTGTGGTGACTTTGTGATCCACCCTGAGCTTGTTTTGCTTTGCTTGACTGGTCTTGTGACCCCTTGTTCTCCCCCACTTTGCCTATGGGGGTGTGTCAGATTCATATGACATAGCTACTGTAGGCTATTGTGGGGTAGCACATATGGGGTACAGTTTTCCTAGGGTTTGCATTTGTACCCAACTTTCCCTTAGTCATTTCATCCCTCGTTTCTTCTCAGAATGGAGATTGATTATCTGGTCGCACATTCACGTTTCCGAAACCTGTCTGGTTCAAAGCGGTGAACAAGCGAAACCGTTTTCCAGCGCGTACCACCGTTTTTAACCGAATATGGAAGTACCCCCACGTCTTGTCGTGGCTGGATCACGTGTGCAGAACAGAATCGGGTTCTGAGCAAACCCCACAACCGTTGCGGATTGTGACGAACTTAGTCTCTAGCAGCCGGCTCGAGCCGTGTCACCGTCATCGGTGGCGCTCTTATCCACCCGTGGCACAGCTCGCATGATATAGAACAAGAACAGCTAGTGCTCGCCGGCACGACGGTTTCCCTGGAACGATATTGCGACGGTAACGGCTTTCTCCCTATTCTTCCTGGTGAAGGAGTAGGTTATTAGTAGTATCTTATGATTCTGGCTGCAAAAACCCTAAGCCGAACTATAATGGCCGCATTCACCGAACGTCTGACACGCGCTTCAACGACTAGCGGTACTTTTGTTACCGTGTACCGCCGCCGTGGATTCAGCAACCACGCTTCGTTGCCGTTTGAACCGGCGTCTGTTGGAAAAATCGCTTCTTCCAGCCGTAAAGCGGCGGGATGGATGATCAATTTCGGCGGCTCGAAGATTAACGGCGTCGCGGTGTCCCTGCAGCACCTCCTATCGCTACTCGCGGTGTCGCTACTCGCTACAGTAGTACCTGTTGCGGGAAATTCGCCTCTGCCGGCGGCGGCGGCGCCGCCGGCCACGCCGCGGCTCGTTTTGCTGGCGAATAACTCGTTCGACGCGAAATGCCTCGATGGGAGGTGAGATATGGAGCGGAAAGGCTGGGGGGAAGAGGGGAAGGGGAGGAGGGGTAAAGGGGAAAAGGAGGTGGGTCGTGAGAGGAGAGAAAGCGAAGAGAAACGAAGCAATTCGTTCTATTAGCGAACTGCTGGCGAAAAACTCCCTGGACGCGAAATGGCGTGACGGGAGGGAGGAAATGAAAAGGTGGGGAGAGAGGAAATGAAAAGCGAAGCGACGGCACCAGCGCCTCTTTCCCCTACGATCCCCCCAACCCCTCCCCTTTTCCCGACCCCCCATCCCCCTGTCTCTCCGCTCCTCTCCCCTCCGCACCCCAGCCCCCCAGGGTACTATTTCCGGCCGGGCACGGGGGGCGGCAAGAGCATGTGGCACATCTACCTGCCGCACGGGGGGTGGTGCCTCTCGCCTGGCCAGTGCCTCCGCAGGAGCAAGGCGTGGCTCGGCAGCAGCACCTTCTATCCTCAAGACCCCCTCAACGCGGTACGATGATGCTCTCTCCCTTACGGCCCCTTTCCTTCTTAACGTCAACGAGTGCCTCCAAAGGATCAAGGCACCGCTCGGCAGCAGCACGTTCTATTGTCATGATCCCACCAACGCGGTACGCTGCTCTCTCCCCTTTAAAGCCTCCCAAGGCGCCACTCTGCAGCAGCACCTTCTATCCTCGTGATCCCACCAACGCGGTACGTTATCCCAAAGACGCTTCCTCTGTTGGCCCAGCCTGCGCGATCCGCTCGGCGAGCGGCAGCAGCACATTCATTCCTCATGTCCCCACTAACGCGGAATGCTGGTTGATGCGCAACGGGCCATAAAACCCGCTCCTTCCCTTCACCCTCCAACCCCTCTATACCAACGCATAACCTCTTTCCGGATTTCAAGGGCATTCTCAGCAGCAGCAGTGAAGTCAACCCACACTTCCACAGCTGGAACCTCGTTCGCCCCTTTCGTTCTTACTCTCCCACTCCCATTTTGTTGGTGCAACCCTACGGTTTGCACTCGGCTTGTTGTCCGTGTGCGTGAATGTGTGTGTGTATGGAATGGTATGAGGGCATGGGATAATATATATTTCATGCTTATAATTGTGTGTGAATGTTGAGTCATGATGTCGAGTGTGTGTGTCGAGTCAATAGCGAGTTATCGCTAGACGCGTGTTACGCGGTCGTTTGTGTCTCGCGCGCGGTTTTTATTTTGTCGTGCGCGGTTTCTATTTTGTCCTGTGTCGAACGTTCGGCGTGTCGCAGGTGTGTGCAGAAGACCCATCAAGAACTCAAGGATGAGTTTGTGATGAAGAGCCCGAGCCTTGGTGTCAAGCCTCAAGTGATTTCGAAGCTCGCCAAAAGGGTACACCTCAAGATATTGAAGATAGTTACATTACTTTGTGTAGTGTAACATTTCACTTGGTGTAGGCCCTAGTGAAGGGTAGTTTCGAGACCCTTCGTGGTTGGGGACAGTGTGGCACTGTTCCACATCACTGTACCTCGGCTCTTGGGGTTTGTAGGAGCTGGGAGTCATTCCCAACTCGTAACTCTTCCTATCTTGTGTTCTAAGACTATAGTGGCTGCCATAGTACCGTTCGTTCAAACCAACGCTGTGTCGTCAATTCTTTATCAAATCGTGCAATCTAAATTGCTAATTGTAGACGACGTGAAGACGCTCCAGATCCAATTTGAATCAAGTCATTTGCAGCTGTGAGCAGAACGCTATCAACGTTTGAAGCCGCTGTGCAGAAATCCGTCTGTGCTCTCTATCTTTCGTTTTAGGCACATTCAAGCCTATTGTGACTATAACACATTTCCCCTCCCCGCTCCCATTCCCTCCTTCAGAACCTCTCGCCGGATTTCAAGGGCATTCTCAGCAGCAGCAGTGAGGTCAACCCGCATTTTCACAACTGGAACCTCGTTCGCCTCCTTTACTCCCCTCCGCCCCTCCCCCATTCCCCTCCTTCAGAACCTCTCTCCGGGTTTCTACGGCATGCTCAGCAGCAACAGCACCATCAACCCGCAGTTCCACAACTGGAACCTCGTTCGTCTCATATACTGCGACGGTGGTGGCTACTCGGGCACGGCAGGGCGCCTGGAGGTTGGTAACAACACCGCGATTTACCTGGATGGGTGGAAGATCGTTCAAGCTGTGATTCAAGGTGTGTTGCTGGAATGAACGAGCCTGAGTAGGTGACTTCTGTCGCCCATCTTTTGAGGCGCCTCTTGAGGCGACTTTTGAGGCGCCTCAAAAGAATGCCTGAGCCTGAGTAGGTGAAGGGACTTCTGTCGCCCATCTTTCATCCCCCTTCTTGAATTCTGCCACTCTTTGGTTCCTTCATTCCACTGTTTCCTTTACGTCTCCCCCTCTGTGCATTGCCCCACATCTTGCCACTTACTCACCCTCACCCTTTCCTTGACAACCCCCGCCCGAACGCAATCAGATCTGAAATCCAAGCAGGGAATCAGATCCGCGGATCAGATCCTCCTTGTGGGCAGCTCAGCGGGCGGCCAAGCAGCCGTGGCGCTCTGCGATCGCATCGCCGGCGCTTTCCCCTGGGCGGGAACTAAATGCATCTCCGACTCGGGCTTCTTTGTCGGTGAGTCTTCATTCTCGTCTGCATGGACTGGGTTACAGGGTTACCACATGCCGTGCCTATGCTCAGAGCCTGGTTGATCTGCACAAGCCCGGCTGGCCTGCTTGCATGCATGGTGAGATGAGATGCAATGCATGGACTGGGTTACAGGGTTACCACATGCCGTGCCTATGCTCAGAGCCTGGTTGATCTGCACAAGCCCAGCTGGCCTGCTTGCATGCATGGTGAGATGAGATGCAATGCATGGACTGGGTTACAGGGTTACCACATGCCGTGCCTATGCTCAGAGCCTGGTTGATCTGCACAAGCCCAGCTGGCCTGCTTGCATGCATGGTGAGATGAGATGCAATGCATGGACTGGGTTACAGGGTTACCACATGCCGTGCCTATGCTCAGAGCCTGGTTGATCTGCACAAGCCCAGCTGGCCTGCTTGCATGCATGGTGAGATGAGATGCAATGCATGGACTGGGTTACAGGGTTACCACATGCCGTGCCTATGCTCAGAGCCTGGTTGATCTGCACAAGCCCAGCTGGCCTGCTTGCATGCATGGTGAGATGAGATGCAATGCATGGACTGGGTTACAGGGTTACCACATGCCGTGCCTATGCTCAGAGCCTGGTTGATCTGCACAAGCCCAGCTGGCCTGCTTGCATGCATGGTGAGATGAGATGCAATGCATGGACTGGGTTACAGGGTTACCACATGCCGTGCCTATGCTCAGAGCCTGGTTGATCTGCACAAGCCCAGCTGGCCTGCTTGCATGCATGGTGAGATGAGATGCAATGCATGGACTGGGTTACAGGGTTACCACATGCCGTGCCTATGCTCAGAGCCTGGTTGATCTGCACAAGCCCGGCTGGCCTGCTTGCATGCATGGTGAGATGAGATGCAATGCATGGACTGGGTTACAGGGTTACCACATGCCGTGCCTATGCTCAGAGCCTGGTTGATCTGCACAAGCCCAGCTGGCCTGCTTGCATGCATGGTGAGATGAGATGCAATGCATGGACTGGGTTACAGGGTTACCACATGCCGTGCCTATGCTCAGAGCCTGGTTGATCTGCACAAGCCCAGCTGGCCTGCTTGCATGCATGGTGAGATGAGATGCAATGCATGGACTGGGTTACAGGGTTACCACATGCCGTGCCTATGCTCAGAGCCTGGTTGATCTGCACAAGCCCGGCTGGCCTGCTTGCATGCATGGTGAGATGAGATGCAATGCATGGACTGGGTTACAGGGTTACCACATGCCGTGCCTATGCTCAGAGCCTGGTTGATCTGCACAAGCCCAGCTGGCCTGCTTGCATGCATGGTGAGATGAGATGCAATGCATGGACTGGGTTACAGGGTTACCACATGCCGTGCCTATGCTCAGAGCCTGGTTGATCTGCACAAGCCCAGCTGGCCTGCTTGCATGCATGGTGAGATGAGATGCAATGCATGGACTGGGTTACAGGGTTACCACATGCCGTGCCTATGCTCAGAGCCTGGTTGATCTGCACAAGCCCAGCTGGCCTGCTTGCATGCATGGTGAGATGAGATGCAATGCATGGACTGGGTTACAGGGTTACCACATGCCGTGCCTATGCTCAGAGCCTGGTTGATCTGCACAAGCCCAGCTGGCCTGCTTGCATGCATGGTGAGATGAGATGCAATGCATGGACTGGGTTACAGGGTTACCACATGCCGTGCCTATGCTCAGAGCCTGGTTGATCTGCACAAGCCCAGCTGGCCTGCTTGCATGCATGGTGAGATGAGATGCAATGCATGGACTGGGTTACAGGGTTACCACATGCCGTGCCTATGCTCAGAGCCTGGTTGATCTGCACAAGCCCAGCTGGCCTGCTTGCATGCATGGTGAGATGAGATGCAATGCATGGACTGGGTTACAGGGTTACCACATGCCGTGCCTATGCTCAGAGCCTGGTTGATCTGCACAAGCCCAGCTGGCCTGCTTGCATGCATGGTGAGATGAGATGCAATGCATGGACTGGGTTACAGGGTTACCACATGCCATGCCTATGCTCAGAGCCTGGTTGATCTGCACAAGCCCAGCTGGCCTGCTTGCATGCATGGTGAGATGAGATGCAATGCATGGACTGGGTTACAGGGTTACCACATGCCGTGCCTATGCTCAGAGCCTGGTTGATCTGCACAAGCCCAGCTGGCCTGCTTGCATGCATGGTGAGATGAGATGCAATGCATGGACTGGGTTACAGGGTTACCACATGCCGTGCCTATGCTCAGAGCCTGGTTGATCTGCACAAGCCCAGCTGGCCTGCTTGCATGCATGGTGAGATGAGATGCAATGCATGGACTGGGTTACAGGGTTACCACATGCCGTGCCTATGCTCAGAGCCTGGTTGATCTGCACAAGCCCAGCTGGCCTGCTTGCATGCATGGTGAGATGAGATGCAATGCATGGACTGGGTTACAGGGTTACCACATGCCGTGCCTATGCTCAGAGCCTGGTTGATCTGCACAAGCCCAGCTGGCCTGCTTGCATGCATGGTGAGATGAGATGCAATGCATGGACTGGGTTACAGGGTTACCACATGCCGTGCCTATGCTCAGAGCCTGGTTGATCTGCACAAGCCCGGCTGGCCTGCTTGCATGCATGGTGAGATGAGATGCAATGCATGGACTGGGTTACAGGGTTACCACATGCCGTGCCTATGCTCAGAGCCTGGTTGATCTGCACAAGCCCGGCTGGCCTGCTTGCATGCATGGTGAGATGAGATGCAATGCATGGACTGGGTTACAGGGTTACCACATGCCGTGCCTATGCTCAGAGCCTGGTTGATCTGCACAAGCCCAGCTGGCCTGCTTGCATGCATGGTGAGATGAGATGCAATGCATGGACTGGGTTACAGGGTTACCACATGCCGTGCCTATGCTCAGAGCCTGGTTGATCTGCACAAGCCCAGCTGGCCTGCTTGCATGCATGGTGAGATGAGATGCAATGCATGGACTGGGTTACAGGGTTACCACATGCCGTGCCTATGCTCAGAGCCTGGTTGATCTGCACAAGCCCAGCTGGCCTGCTTGCATGCATGGTGAGATGAGATGCAATGCATGGACTGGGTTACAGGG